ATTTGGATAACAACAATAATAGGATGTAATGCAAAATAGATATATTAATGGAGGTTTTGTCTGCAGTACTAATTGTGCAGCTCTGGTCAGTCATGGTAACCAAGTCATTAAGTGTTTCAGTTTGATTTACAAACCTTTCTTGAGGTAGACTCATAGGTCTGGCAAGACTATGCATTCCATCTGCTTTGGAAAAAAACAGGAAGAGAGAAATAGTATCATGTCCCGGACATTTCATATCTTACCACCAAAAACTGATCTTGCAAGGCATCAGAAACGAAAAGAATCACTTTCCCAGAAGCTACTTTTGTATACTTAAAACAAGAACATGTTTATGAGGTATATTGCAAGGACAAAATGCACATAAGTATGAATTATTTTTTAGATTACAGAGAATATACACCATATTATGGCTCTATATTTTTAGACAGCAAAAGGATCAAAGGGTACCACACTCTTACCATTTGCATTTTGTGAATATGCCTTAGTGTGGCATTTGCCAAGTGGTTTTGATTGGTTATCTTCCCCCCAAACCAAATGGTCCTGTATGAGTTGGATATAAAACTTCCAAAAGAAAGGATCCAGGCTAGTAGTAGAATACTGGAGAGAACATGGTAGGCCACATCCTGATAATTATTTTCTTGATTCCTTATGTAAAAGCCCTTTAGTAAAAAGGAAAAAAAGAACAAAAAAAAAGAAAAATGCTTAATTTTCCAAGAGTCATCCAACAGTGTTTTATCTCTCCAATAGAAAACAGACCGATTAGTACTTTGGCTCTTGGCATCCAAGTGACTCTGGCACATCATCCATGAGACCACAGCTTCTCATTTTACATTTTGCTCTACAGATGGCGAAAGCAGCATTTAAATGTGTTGACAATTAAAATTTACAGGGTTGTTAGGGGGAATTTGTACCTTCTTAAAGGGATCTTAGGGTAAATTAATCTGAAGCTAGTATTATTTCTTTTAGATTTGGCTTGAATCCTTCAGTGAATCAGTCTGTCATCGACCTACAAACAAAGGAAAAGGTCATCCTGCCTTTAACACATTATAGCTTTGTCCTTCTTATACTATATTTTACAACCAGAGCAAAGTTTACTGTCTTGGAATCTTCTACTAACATAAAGATTTAACCATTAAGCTCTAGCTTGACAGTTTTGTTTTTCCAGTGTCTGGGTTGAGTACCGCCAAATGTCTCAGTTTGAAAAAAATATCTATGTTCTATATGTCTTATTATAGTTAAACCTCCAACAACATTGGGGTAAATATAATACAAATCCACCCATCCATTTTGAAGGAATGGTTGCATAGTTTTGGAAAAATTTCTCCATGTAACAACCTTAGAAAAAGGAGCTTAAAGTTAAATTGTGATTGATATATTTGGACAGGTGGGCGATCCTTAGTGAAATGGAAAGTGCATGCAGAGTTGCAGACACATTCTCAGCTGTTCCTGTATAACTTATATATCCAGTCTGTTATTCCCAGTGAGACCAAACCATCTGCATTGACACTTTTGTTCCACTGTCAGAGACTGTAGGAGGGCTGTGGTTTGGTGAAGATGGAGTGAGTCAGTACCAGTGTGTCTATGAGGATTGTGGTGTTTTTGACAACTTTGAGGGCACAAATGAAATGGAACTTCTTCAATTAATCTTGCTGTAAAAGCTCAATCTGTACATTACAAGAAAAAGTATCCTTTCTATTCTAAGGCAGTGTTTAAAAGCAGAAAGCTAGAGTTGTATAAATAGAGAACATCTTTGTCAAACTCCGGGGTGTCCCTAGCCTTGAGTCGGCACTGCATTTATGTGGGCAGGACTAATGGGGGGCCAGTTGGGGAGATGGCCCCCAGGGGGATTCATGCAGGCGGCTTGGCGCCCATCCCTTCCTCCATTATATTTAACACATGCAACACCACACTTCAATAGAGTCTTGATGTGTGAGCCTGGCAGGCATCATGAGAGTACCATCCAGTGTTCTGGGCAAGTCCTTTGCTCTGGAAGAATGCGGTGTGGCTTGGACATGGGGACTCATTGCCCCAAGTCTCATCCTGTGCCCCTTTGGCCCTTGGCTGTTTCTGTTCCTCGTTGACGAAAGACACCATGCTTCTGTGCACGGGTGTCTATCTTGATGTCAGGCTTTGTGTCTGTCAGCAAGGGGCTGCAGGAAAGCAGCCACTCTATAGGAGATGCATAAAAGCACAAAGCACTTAAAACAATGGAAAAGAGAAAAGGGTAATGTTCACTCATGAGTTGTTTTGACTCTAATGCCTTCATACCAAACTCAGCAATACATTTAAGAGCATCATTTTTGATTGGTTATCTTATATATATATATATATATATATATATATATATATATATATATATATATATATATATATATTCAATACTGTCATGGCATGTAGTCACATGTTTTTACTACAAAATTAAGTAATTTGGTCAATCTGATGTAGTACAATAAGGAATGTCAACACTTGTTATATTATAGTCGGTACCTCTTACAAAAGGCTTTTTAAAGATAATACAAAACATTTCAGTGGCAGCGCTCAAATATAAGTTTGACCTATATTTGCCACTTTGTCTGCTAATCATGAAGATTTTTGGAACTGTTTTATCTATAATTCTCTAAAACCATCTGAGAGTTTCCTTGAAATTACATGATGCTCTTAAGTTCAAACTTCATTGTTGGCGTGATGTTTTCTGGAATGATATGCAGCATTATTTTGTCTTCAAACTTAGTATGTAAAAAGATATCTTAATGATCCTAATCGTCTGACCAGATTATAGTCACCATGTGAATAAATTTATTTATCCAAATGTCCTATTGCAGACAAATTAATGACAATATTGTAAGCTTAGGGCGGGAGGACCCAAATGCAGAGATGAGGGAGGCAGAGGTTTAATAATTCAAAAAGTAGCAACTGGGGCAAAAATCCCCAAATAACCACATACAGAAAACAAAACACTAGAAAATATCAGGTAAAACACACAAGGATCAAGAAATGACAAGGTACCAGCACTGAGGAACTGCACAGGGAGAGTATAAATGGGAGACAGAACAAAGACTGGGCTAATGAGCTGACAGGGAGCAGGTGTGGACGGAAGCAACTAAAAGGGAGCGAAGGGAAGGAGACTGACACAAGGGGGCAACAGAGGGTAAACAAGAAATACACAAGAATTCAAAAAATATAACCATAAACAACTAGAGTAACAGCCATGGAAAATATGTTCAGTTCTCTGTGTGAGTCTGTTTGGGTTGAAATATAAAAATACATTTTTTTTTCAACACTTTTTATTTACACAGTGTAATACACGACTACATACACAAATTTAGGTAGAAATGAAATTTAATGAAACATGAACTGAGTCATAAATTGCATTTTGGCTATCTGAGCGCATTTTGACATGGTGTTGAAGCTGTGGTTTGAGGATATTAGAATGAAATAGATAGTCTTGTAGAGGAATCTCAGGTGAAGATTTGGTCATATGATAAGTGTGTGTAAAGCTCAGAGATGATGAACTACAAGCTTATTGTTCTTGCAAAAGAGCTGCAGCCCCCTTGAAAGGGTCACTCAGGCTTAATAAGAGTGATGATAATGTGTAAGTAGGAGAAAAGAGAAGATACTGTATCTCCATAACTTCCTAATGGAGAAGTGCTTATTTATTCTGCCTGAAATTAAGCAACTGGACTAAAAGAAAAACATATTTTTTCCGGTGTTATGTGCTTCGGGCACATTATGATTTTTGTCTATTTCTTTTCTTTGTTTTCTTACAGACTTTAGTTGAAGGATCTTTTGTTAATATATTTTGGGATTCTTTTAGCGAGTTAATTATGTTAATTTGTGGTGCTGTCGTCCGCCTATAAATAGGCTGGCTTTCAGCATGTTGACGCGTTCCTTTTCCAACGTCGTTTGGACGCCGCTTTCCACCTGCTTCATTTGCTCCATCGTGCGCGGTGCGCACTTGTCTTGTCGCTGCGGCCTGCAGCAGACGTTCCAGCCTGCCATGCGGTATTTTTGTTAACTGTTTCTTACTTTTTTCTTGAGGTTTTTGGCCTGGCGGGACCGGTAGTCCTGTTTTCGATTTTTCTTTTGCTTAGGTTATTTTTGGCCTTTAGTCCGGTACCAGTAGGGGCTTCGACGGCCCTGTATAGGGTTGGCCCCCTGCTGTACCTTTTTATTCTGTTTGATCGGCCTGCCAGGTCCAACTTTCTGTTGTTACTTTGGGTTTCTATTTTTACTTTTGGGGCACGGGATTTGAGGGCCTTTAACTCTTTTTCTCTTCGCAGAAAAATCTGAAGAAGCCGAACCAAGAACAACTAAAGCGGAGAGAATTGATAAATAAAATAACTTTTTTTGAACCCTCATCTTTTGTCTCGTGTCCTCAAATATGTTGTGTCCTTGGTGGACGTAACATCCGGTTTCTGCATATTGCTAACAGACATATTGCAAACGTATGGTGAATAACATCTGAAAGAAAACAGAAAATAAAGATCTAGAAGTATGGTATATAAAACCATCTTGGTTTGGTTTCCTAAATAAGAAAAAAAATTGTTAAAAAATTCTATGTTAGGAGATAAATTATGCATTTTCATCCAGAAAGTTTACCTGTTTTCTTTTTTTTTTATTTCAGAGGTTGACCGTTGTGATCGGTGTCTCCTTTAACTATGGGCAAACCCCCCCCCAAGAATACAGTTACATTTCTTCCTGTTAGCAACATTCAAAATCGAAATTCTTTTCTCTAATAATTGATCTTTTTATTGTGTAAAAAAAAAATTGTGTGTTTTGTAAAGAACTTTTGACTTAAATTAATTGATTTTCCAATCCTTTTTTAGGTTTTTTTAATTCAACCATAACTAATATGTTTATAATGCTGTTTGACCTTACTAGTAACATTCTCCTTCATTGTGTCTTTCTTAATACTTACAGCTCTGACCGGCATCCTGTGTCCCTATAATATCTCCAGTATATCAACCCACTTACAGAGAACGCTTCTGTTCTTTCCAATCATGCGTCTCCTCACCATCATTATCATCCTGCTGCTCCTTCAGTCAGCTGAACCTCGGAAAGGCGGCCGAAATAAGGCCGCACAACGGGGCACCAAGGGCCGTGTGCGAGGCAGAGGAAGGGCAAGCCTCATGAAGCGTCAAACTCAGGAATGTAAGGAGTACACAGAAAAGAGAGAAAAGTTTCTTGACTGCCAGGATAGGCAGCTGACATTTGTAAATCAAGACTGGCCCAAAGACATTCAGCACCTTTTGCTGGCAAAAAATAAGATTCAGGTATGTGTAGTCAGATTACATCCTCAATTGTGAACAATTTACTGTGCATTTTTTAAGGTTTGTTCAACAAACAAATCTGTGGAGCCTGGAAAGGATAATTGGGTTTGACCAGCCCTTATTTTACACCCTGTACAAGTCTATGGCATTTCCAACAGATTTTAATAATTTGCATTTTCAAGTATCGCATGATGAAAATGTACAAATTTGAAAAAACAATAACTTAAAGTCACGAAAGGTTATAAGCTCACTTGAGGTGGTTTATGGCTTTTGCAAAAAATGGTTATTGCACAAAATTGGAGACAGAAATACTGATGCAGCAAACTTTTTAGCTCACATGCCTAAGCAGCTGTTTTTGCTGTGGGCGTCTTCACTGATGTTCCTATTGTGCATGTCACTTGGCTAGAAGCAACACTGCCATTGTTAGCTGACATGTTAACATAAGACAAATTTGTACATTAGCAACACATTCATTAAAAATGACCACCATTACTAATCTGTGGTCAGTGTAAGATTGCAGCTTCTACACTGCAAAAAAATGTAATCTAAATAAGTTATTTTTTCTTAAAATAAGTGCATTTTTTCTTGAATTAAGGATTTAAGTGAGATACTTTGCCAATGGAACAAGACAATTTACACTTAAAATAAGAAAAAAACAACTGCATTGTCTTATATTAACTGAATAATATCCAGATACCTTATTTTAAGAGTAAAAATACTAATTCCATTGTCAAATCCTCTTATTTATCTGCTCTAATTAAGGGTAAATACCCTTAATTGAAGAAATTTTTACTCATTTTGCAGTGTACTTCCTGTTTATTACAGCTATGACTGATGATGTAATGTTGATGACGATGTAGGACGGGATTAAGCATTGCGTCTCTTGGTGAATTCACTTCAAACCTATAGGACATGCTGAAAATTTGCTTTTTCTTTTTTAAAACTTTTAAAACTGTTTGCTTAAAATGTACATTTCAGTTAGATGGAAACATGGCTACATACATCTTTGCTGACCCCACACATCCTGGTCTTAAAGTTGTTTAAACAGCTAAAGAGTGCTCATAGAAAAACAAGCACATTGTTGGCTTTTTTTCTCCCACCAAGCATTTTCATTAGATTGTTTATTTCAATGGGAAGGATGGTACACTAAAGTTATATTTCTTTTTTGTACACAGAATCTGTACCAATTAAGCGGATTCTGATTATTAAAAAAACTGAGCAGAGTATGTTTACATGAGCAGAATAACACAAACTCATGATAACGATAAGTTGAACATATTTAAGAATAAAAATTAAAATCTTTAAAGAATACCCAACCATGATCACTGGGGAATCCAATGAAAGGAACCAGTTTCTATTTCAGTTAAAGCATAATTAAACTCACAATACTACGTAACTCAAAAGAAACATCAACAAAATCAGCTTGAAGGAAAACAAAAAGAAAAGCAGACAAGCTTTTCAGTTATATTCGGATAATAAAACTTGATGAGGAATTGAAGTAAACTTTTATTGCAGTTCTGTGGAGCAAACCGCACAGGTTTTGTCTGATTTGGTTGTATTTTTTATAATGAATTAAACCTGCTTTGCTTGTTGATACCATTGCCATCTGTGCACCACTCATTTTAAGCTCAGATCAAAAACATTCAGTATGTGAGCTTTTGTGTGGAATTTGTGTGTCACACGTGGTGAAAAAAAAAAAGCTTTGCAACATGGTTAATAATTAAAGACATGACAGATAGTATTTATGTCTAGAATAGGTATTATAATTAAAGTGGAGAGATTAAATACTTTTCTGATAAGGTCTACATTTTCCTATTTTGCATAGCATCGGGTGATACTAAATACATGTCATGATGATAACAATCAAATTTTTTAATCAGGGATATTGAGTAAAGTAATTTGGTAATTAGTTAGAAAATTTAATGGAATACAATGAATTCCATTTGAAGTATAAAAAAGTATTAATGTAAAAAGAATTATCATCTGTAAAAAAACAGCAATACAGTACTGCTCTTACCATCAACTGTTGAGTTTATTTAGAATAGAATAGAATAGAATAGAATAGAAAATCATAGTAACTAGTAATAGTAAATCATAGTAAAATAAAGCAAATAGAGTATTGTACAGTGTTTTACACCATAAATACTGTATCTAAAGAGTAAAAACTGCTTTGGACACTTTTAAAGTAAGGGATATGTGAAAAAAGCAGCAACACCAGGGATGTGCAAAAAAAATAAATAAATAAAATGACAGTAGCATGTGTTAAGGAAGAAAATATTCTAAAATAGTTAACTTTGGAAAAAGTTTGGCTTTCTCTCTTCCTCTGATCCCAGGCCCTCCCAGCGAGCTGTGTGTGGCCACAAGGAAACCAACAATGCGTGTTGACGTCACAGAAATACAGAGTTTAATCCAATATAAGACAATGCATAAACTTAGAAGTAAGACAATGCACAAACTTACACCAGAAACTGCAGAACAACGGAGACATACATTCATTTACCTGACATAAATGGAGAGAAGGAAAGAAAGCAAAGACATACAAAGACATCTTTGGAGAGTTGCAAGAGCAAATCTGATTTGTTACTTCTGTGCAGAAAGTTTTATCCTCTTGTATTTCATTTATTCAAATAAGGCGTACCTTTGCTCCTCCAACCAGGAGCTATCTCTGACCCCCTATCTGAAGCCTAAAACCCCTGCAGTGTTTACGGCCTCTCACAGATGAGTGTGGAAAGCCAGAACTTCCACTGTATTGTTTTACGACACAGACAAAAGGCAGTTTAAACGATCCTAGCAAACCATCCGCTGCAGCCACAGGCAAAACAAAGGACAACAGGCCAGAATAAGTCACTGATTTAAAACCACAATTTATGCCATTCGAGTTAAGACATGTTAAGTTTTAAAACTAGCTTATTTAAAATTTGTTTTCTCAACACATGTTATTTAACTGACTAAGACAGAACCTGTGCAAAGATCAGCATTAATGTAACAACTTATTAAGATTGTTGGGAACAGTGATGGTTATAAAGTCTAACATCTGCTAGCAGGAAGGATGTGTGATAACGCTCCCTGGTGCATTTAGGGTGCAGCAGTTCATCACTGAAGGAGCTTTCCAGTTAAGCAACAGCTTCATGCATGGGTCAGGAGACATTATTGACAGAGATGTTATTTAAGTTAGGATCTCTTTGTTTCCCACCTCCTGCACTGAGTCTGGAGGGCATCCAATCACAGAGCTGGCCTTCCTGATCAGCTTTCTCTCAGCTAAGGATACCACACTGCTCCAACAGACAGCTCCATAGAAGATGCCTGATGCCACAACAGAGCATAGAAGGTCTTTTTTTTAATAAAATTGGAAGAATTTGGTAGATTTTGTAGATTAATTTGAATTTTTTTTTAAAGGTAAAGTTGTTTCTCTGCTGCCTTAGAAGACTCCTTTTATACCCTCTACAGTTAGGAAGGTTGTTTGGATGCTACAGGCAACTGGGTTTGCAATTTGTATAGTTTTTTCTTTTCTTTTTGAACATATTATGTTCTTAATTGGGTGATTCTTAAATGACTAGTTTGTTTTACTTCAGAGCCAGTTAACAGTAGATATTTTGCACAAATATGGTGCTGCCAAGCCACAAACTGATCATAAAAGGTAATCTTCATCAGCTTCTGAAACATCTGTTGACCCAGCAGACTCTTGCTTGCAATGTAAATAATTTATTCAATGATGGTTGTTGGTGAGAAATCAGATCTTTATGATTGGAAATAGCCCAAAAATATTACTATAACTAGTACAAAGTACAGTATGTAATATCTATAGATTTTTGTAGTTATTACTAGTTAAAAATCTTAGATATAAATGGCTGGAAAATGATTTAATTGACAAAATTCAGGACTCTGATAGGTTTGGTAAAGTAGAGATGGGGTTGCTATAGTGAAGTTTCAAGGGAAACCTATTTTGCTTCCTCTTGTTGCCGAACTATGCGTTTTTCTACCTGTAATTATTCACTCTGTCTTATTTTTTTTGGTTTTAGTATGTTTTGCTTTGGTGTTTCTTTTTTAACCTATTATTGGTATTTCTACCCTCAGGTTTTAAGGAATAACATGTTTGAACAGTTCACCAAGTTGAAGAGCCTGGATCTTCAGCAAAATGCTATTTCAGTGATAGAGGATAATGCGTTCAGTGGCCTCGATCAGCTCACCACACTTCTCCTTCAACATAACCGCATCAGAACAGCCTCCGAGGAATTCCTCCTGCCCTTACGCAGCCTCTCCTACCTCCGCATTTTTGACAACCCCTGGAGCTGCCGCTGCCCCCTGGAAACCCTTGTCAGGACCCTGCAGGTGCCCAGTAATCGCAACTTAGGCAACTATGCCAAGTGCGCTGAGCCGCGTTCTATGAAGGGCAAAAAGCTTAAAGAGCTAGAAGCAGAATTGCTGTGTGCCAAAGACAACAGGTCAGAGGTTTTGGAGGGGCCAGAACCTGGGCCTGTAATAGAAAAGTCAGATGCTGTGTCCATTTGCAATCTCAAATATCCCGGACCCCTCCTGAACTGCAGACACAAAGGTGAGAGAAAATCTTTTTGTCTATGTTACTTTGTGTACACAGACACTGCAGCCAAAGGTAATAAGATTTTTGTCATGCATGAATCTAATCAAACAAACCTGGTGTAAAAAATGTGGTCACTTCTTGAATGTTTAAACAAAAACAGAAAAAGATAAAGCTCAGCGATTCTAAAGCTACAAGAGAAACACCCAATCAGCAAACAGTAGTCATGCTTTTTTGTCCCGTAAAATTGAGTTCATAAACCAAATTCACAATATTCTATGCTGGCTACATCCAGACAGTAGAGATGTGTTTGTTTTATATAAAGTTTTATATTTGCGGTGTGCAAGTCGCCCTGGGAAGAAGGAGCTGGCTGTGGATTGATTTAATCTCTGTGCTCTTAAAATCTTCCTCGCTCATAGCAGCAGATGTTGGAGAAGTAAATGCATAACAGCATTAAGCCTGATGTAACCTCTTTGTAGAGACTGTCTTTAAATGTTGCATCAGCTGTGCTTATTCCTACAAAAATACTCTTTTCAAACTTTTCCTGTTAGTACTTTTAAGGAGCTGACATTTGCTTATTTGTTTATCCAACTCTAATGCAGTGGCAGCAAAAATACAGACCTGTTCACAAATATTTCTGGGGAACATAAAAACATACTAAACAGACATTTTTGATATATATTTTTCATATTACTGCCATGTGTTTCGCAAGTGACAGTAAGCCAGACTAAGAGTGATTAATCTTGTATATGGGAAAACGTTGAGAAACTGCATTTATTTATCACATAATTTAAATATTTATTTAAATATTGTATAAATCTTGCAGAAATGGCCCTAAATTAACAACTATCTCATGGCACACTATGCAGCACTCTGTCTACACTGATAAAGTGGGACCTTTATTACACAGAAAAAGTAGAGTAATTGCTTCCTATCAGGAAGATAGGAGATTTGTAAACTGTGTATAAAGCATTGAACTTTAATTACCAGTTGTTCAGGTTATTAAAAAGGCAGCAGTGATGTCACAGCAAACGTTACAAACAAAGGAACAAAACCTTCTTTTCTTAATGCCAGTACACACCAGTTATGTAATAATTGATTTATTTGCCAACAGAATATGAAAGATAATAAATATTTTAATTTCAATTAGTTTAATAAGTCAAAAGAAAAAAGAACTTATCGCAAACCAATAAAAACAAAAAACAATTCAAAATCAGAATCCAGAGAAACACAATAACCATGCCAGACGTTTCACAAAATAATCATTAAAACACGGCTGGATCCATGGTCTTCATTACATGTTTCAGGGTTTTCTAACACAACACAGGGAGCACAATCTCTGTATAATACACTTATTTATTGCATAATAATTCTTAAAACACCAAAGCACTTGTGAACTTTGTCGGTATTGACTATGAAAACAGGATCTTAAACCTAAAACAAAGTTTCTGTCACATCATACTATATAGTCCTTCTTTTTACTGTATCCTTAAATCAAGCTGCAGGTGTGAAAAGTGCGAGAAAATATTATGACATTATATAATGTGTTTTTATTTACTTTCTAAATATTCTGTTACACAAGGCCTATAGGAGGCAATCATACCCCCAATTAACCCAGCTGATAATAAAGTCACTGCTCACTTATGAGTTAACCAGTGATGCAAACGTCTGACCAATTAAGGAATAGTGGTCTTTGGAAATCACCTTTTCAGCTTGATGAAAAGCTGGTACCATGAACCAGTACCTAATAGAAACCCACAGTAAGAAGCCAAGTATGTCCAGGTATAAAATTGACTTAAAGCGAAAAAGCTCAGCAATGTGCCTCCTCAAAGTACCTGTATGTTATGATGTCATAGTTTTCCCAGAATACTAAAACTTATTCAAAACAAAGCTTCTAGCATTTAGCATCATTTTAACATGTTTTCTGAATTTAGATGAGTGCAAATTAATAAAAAAAAAAAGTCAAAAATTAAACGCCAATAATCGTAACTAAAGGGGGTGAGATCATTTCTGAACCAGTGCAGATGTATTTCCTTTTGTTTTTCATAAATCATTACGTTCAAAGGAGATTTCCCTGTCTGTGATTCCATATTTATCCATAAAAGAGGAGCTTATACCCTTCAGGGAGAGATCTTCTCGGGCCAAAACCACACAATGCACCATCTGTGTTGTGTGCACGCTTGGGGAAGCTTTTCACATACTTTCCTGATTAATTTTTTTTTTTCTCCACCATGAGATTTCTGAATCACTTCTTTATCTTAACTACTGCAAGGGTCCTCTGTTTCCTCACTGTATCATTATACCATCTATTACCCCCACCTCGTTCTTTCTTTCTCCCGGTAATAGTGCTGTATCCTATTTTATTTTTAACCCACATATTTTAAAACAGAAATGTATGCCAGTTTTCCTTAATACACTACATTCATTGCTTACTTTTCTTTTGTTCTAGAGAGATGTATTTTTATCAATTTGTTCTCCAATCCTTTTTTAAATGGCCCTATCATTAAGGAAGCTCAGATAGAGGTCAGTTATATCCATACATCTCAACTTGCTTTTCTTTTCTAATATCCCACCTAAACTTTGACTTTAGCATGCGACAATATAATATAACTAAAAATGTTCTTTAAATGAGGTAAGTAGTTTCACTTAATTATAAAGTATTTTCCAAAACATCATGTGAGGGTTGTAAAAAAGCAGCATGAGACCATGTGGAGGAATTTGCAACATCTCAATCTAATTTAACTAGTCAATGCCTCAGGCATACATTTTGCTGCCTTTGTCTTTTTCAGATGGAACTGAATGCCGATTGCTTCTGTAATGATGCAGTTACTAATTTTCACAGCATAAGTGTCTATTTTTCCATCAGTGGTCTTTCATGAATTTGATCAACAGTGGACAGCAACAAGTGGTGGAGGGGCCTCACTGCTACTTTCTACTGCTGTCAAAAAGCTGGTTCAACATTTTATTGAAACACCTCAAACTATAGTATTGCAATGATGAATATGTTTAGTGTTTAAAGAAGTAGCTTGATAAATTTTAATTGTATCACTTGAATCTTGTATTTGGCTCATGGAAAAGTTAACAAAACCAGTTTGCTTTGAAGAGTATAGATGTTTGCAGGTAAAGAAGCCAGGAATTAATTAAAGAAAAAAAAAGGACAGGCAAAGGGATGCATATCTTCAATTTCTTTCTTCCTGTTTCTCCCTCCTGGTTTGGAGGCTGTTCCTTTGAGGTACACCACAGTTCATTTGAACACGGTTCTCACTGGAGACTAAAACTCAGTGGTTACAGTAAATAACGGGGGGCATTTAAGGCAAAGTTTCTCATGGACAGAACTTGGAGGAACAATGTGATAATATTATACAACCTAAACATAATGTCTTACTTTTTTGTCTCTGTTGAAGACTTTGTGAAGTTGTAGGTTTTGGTTTTTAACTACTACAGTATCACAAATTTCAATATAAAGACTGGCCCCATCGCATAATTTGCGATTGCAATTGCGTTCTGCAAATAAAATCATCTACTCGGAGGTTTGGCCTGATACTGTTCATACGGGCTTTCTGAGGCAAAAAAGACTGTTTGCACCATGTAGCAGATTTAAACATTGTTTTTTTCATCTAACCTTGAAAAGCGACTATGGTTACACCTACATATAAACTTATAACTTTAAAACTAATAACCTGGGAATGGCATTACTTATATTATTACGGTAGTTTTATTAAGGCTGTGTACTTATGCTCCCACTTCAATCAACACGAATCTTCATGTTGTATTCTGAGTGCTACTAGTGTTTTATCCCTCTTTGCATCTAAAATATGTTGTGCTTATCACATTTTATCCTTTTTCTTCTTTTGAATTTCTCGGCTCCATTGCTTCAAATTTTCCATTAACTTAATTTAACTTTCCACTGCTTTGATTTTTTTGCATGTCAAATATCAAATTCCCATCATACTGTCTTGTTATGTTGTATGATAAATAAACATAAAGGCACTTTACTTCTTTGTTTACTAACAAACAGAACAAAAGCAAACTGTAAATCACCATAATAAAATATAATAAGCCAACAGGGTATGATGCATAGTATGAATAGTATGTCTTTCAGCCCCTTTAATGGTTAGAAGACAAGTTTTAAAGATAACACTGACAAAGTTTTCAGAGAGAGGTTATGATGGTATTATTTATGCATCCTAAAGATTAAGCCAAGATTTAGAGTATCAACTCAAGTTAGATAAAAGTTTGCCTTTGACGCGTAATTATAAGTAGAAATAGTTAATTTTAGCTCTTGGCTGCTATTCCTAGATCATATTCCTTCACCTTCTGTGCAATTAACAGTAAGAAAACTATAACGGTAATCGTAAGTCTTCAGCCTTCCGGATGGTGATTATCAAATTTGGAAAACAGTCTTCCAAACAAGAACAAAAAACACAAGTAAAAAAAAATAGTGATCTAAATCTCCATTATAAAACAAAAACAGGTGCATACATTTGCATGAATCACAGAGATTACACTCAAAGAAATACTGAGCTGTTCTTATATGTCCTGTCACACTAAGGATTGTGGGCAAACGTATAGCTCAGCTCCTAAAGCGGGAGATAGGAACATTGCAAGCCACCTATTCTTAACTGTGGATAGAAAGCATCAAACCCCTCCTCACTGCCTTAGTAAGGGTCCCTTCAGATTTGCTGCATTCAGATTTAGCCTGGGTCTGTGGGGTGCTACTTCAATGTTACCCTACATTAGATTACATTAATGCAAAATGTGCCTTAAACTGCTTAACTGCTGTCAAAGTGGTCAAACGGGGGCAACTGCAACGGATTTTCCCATTGATTCAAATGGTACATCTAAATGTTCACAGTTAAAGGCATTTTTCACTTTAACAAAAAGTACCTCATTCATATCTATGCCTCTGTAGTGAGTGTTGGCAGCATTGTCTTTGGAAAAAGCTGAGTCATTGCCAAAAGGCAAGCTGCTCAAACTTTGTCTTTGAGCCACTGGGCTCCCTAAGGCCTAAATACATCCTAGCTAACCCCCATCTCTCCTTACATCCCCCCGACTCATTCCCACCCTGTGCCACAAACATTAGCAAGGACCACTTTGGTGGAATTGCTCCGAATCTGTCTGGGGGCAGAGTTAGATTGATAATTTAGATCAACATTCCTCTATAGAAACTACAGAATTCCAGTTACAGGTAGGTTGATGAACCCTCAAGGTTTACATGCAAAAAAAAAAAAAAACAACAACAAAAAACTACTTTTTTTCAGGCTGGAAAGTATGGTAAGATGTATCAAAACCTGCAGCTTCCCTTGTGTTTTGTCATTTTGGAAATACAATAATAAAACTATGTATAACACTCATTATGTATAAGAGGAGGGATGTTTCACTTTCCTCCATATGAGCCTGTAAATCATACCAGGTGTCAGCCCATTCCTTTGACATGTGAACACACAGTTTTCCTCTACTGTTAAATCTTGAGAGTAGTTCTTGGTATTCTTTTTCAACACAAAGCAGTGCGTTATGTTTTTGTACATTGTCTTTTACAAGTATGAACCACATTTGTAATAAACTTTACTGAGATAAAACCTACATAAAATTGAGTGTGTCTAATAGATCATAAAAGTTACATTATTTAATGGAGTTGCATATAATAAAATCATCAGATGAGAACATAACTAAAGCTTGTGGGTTAAAACGTTGCGTGTGGTAGCAAACTGTCATGATTGGTTTAAGCGATCTGACCCACATGCAGAGAACCACTCAGAGAGCAAGGGAAAAAGTTTAACAGGTTTATTAAATGTAGAAGAATAACAGACGTTGGATCTGGAACACAGTGGACTGGTGAACCGGAACTAGACAGTCTGAAGGGGAGATCACAGTGATCAGTTCAGGGACCGTAGGAAATTTGACTGAGGCTTGAATATTACTGGAGAGGGACTCACGTTTGAGGGAGCTCTTGTCATTCCTTGAATCCAGCTTGTGGGGGTTAATCCAGAGAAGAGGAAACTCGTTGGAGGGCGAACAGATAGACAAGAGTTGGACCCAGAGGAGTAAAGGAGCGGACTGTCACTTGGATTTCCGAAGAGGACTTGAACGGATCATGTGAAGGTTTTCCCCTGCTCAGTCTGTACTCAGTTAATCCTTCCAGGGGGAGAAGGTCCAGGTATCCAGTTACTCAGGAAGGCTTCCTGCCCAAGAGCAAAGACAAAAACTAGATAAAACTCAGAGAAACAAAGCTTAGGTTAGACTCTGCTAATCTCAGCTTGGCTAGGGTACCCAAAACTGGCAAACACTCTAGTGTCGAGAAAGTGACAGCCCACTGCTCAAGTACTCCCCCAGTAATGATCCAACGAGCCGCAGGTGTGCAGGGAGGCCCAACGAGGAACAGGGCATCACCTGGTGGTGGAGAGAGAAAAACATACAAACAACCCACACAGACTGGATTCCTAACACAAACAACATTTAACATAAGAAAAGACACACGCTATGCCCTCTGTGGTGAAAAATCTTTCTTTGGGGATGCTATCTTTATCTGGGATAGGAGAGATTTATGTGTAGATTATTTTTTATCCCTTTTCTTTTATTAACAAGTTTTGATAATACATGTTTTTATTTTCTTGCGGTGCAAAATTATTCCATGCTTAAGGGTATTCTTTGTAGGAAATCCCAATGAGGTGCACTTAAGTTTAGTTTCCCTTTAGTTCTGATTCTGATTCAGGTTTTAGAGGGAAAGGTGAGAGATTTCAATGGGTATTAATACATGGGAACAGCCCTGAATATATTCCGATATTATACTTTTTGCATGTAACATGTTATGTCCACAATGGAAATGCCACATTTATGCAGCAGCACTTTGCTGAAATTTGTTATTTCCAATTGTGTGTGTTCAAGGAAGTGCTTACATTGAAAAAATATTCTTGAAATTAAAATTAAACAAACCAAATGTACATATTAGTTTTTTCATTCTCAAACAATTACTTACATTGAAAAAAGCTGACTTTTTTAAAACAAGAAGACCCTTTTTTTCTTTTTGGGAAAAAAAAGAAAGAAATGGAGCAGATGCATTGCTGAGTAATGGTTTTAACAGATTTGGCAAATGCAGAGTCCAGGCCTGGCTATGAATGACTAACAATTTTAATTCTCCTGACATGTTATCTCTCTTCTCCTGTCATGTGGTTATTCAGTATCGAATTTGACTCGCATGGGGGATGATTGTAACAGATGTAGAAAATGTTGAGCTTAACACTTTTAAACCAAAACATCTGCTGGATTATAGATTAGGAGTTAGATGTAAGTATTGCAAGATAAAACTTTAGATTTGTTCTCTCTTTTAATGCTGCATGTTGAAGATTATTCCAGAACCCACGGGATCACAGATGCATCAGTGTGAGAGAGAAAAATGTAGATTTTGGCTCAAGGTTAAAGTCTGTGAAAAGAGCCTGGGAATGAAGGTTGGAACTGAATGCCAAGTTTTTTTTTTTTTTTTAGTCAAGACAAAGCTCGGGAAACATGTTCACCTAAAGGGAAGCTGGGATTCTCATTGGATCTCTAAGGGGAAGTATTCTCTCTGAGCTGGACCGATAACTTGCAACATGAAACCACAGTCTTCAAAGTATGTTCCCATCCTGTTCCATATGTCTGCCTGCAGAACATTTATCAGCATCAGTGAAATATAACAAGTATATTTCCTGACTGCGGGGTTCCTTGTGCTAAAGATATGGGTGACTGCTTTGTGTATGTGATTCTTCCCCTTTAAACAAGAAGTGACTGATTGCAACCGGGGTTTAAGATAACAGGCTACAACATCTGTTGTAATAAAGAATAGATGAATACTCTAACATCTGCTCCATTGAAAAGTCCATAAGTATTCCCTTTAGCAGAGTATAAATTTAGTGTAAGTTCATGCACCAAGGAAATCCACACAAATTACATCATACAGTAAAGATTCTAATATTTCTTTTCAAATAAAAGTAGATCAAAATGTAACTATAAAAGCACAAACTAGACCTGAACAAGAAATCATACCCGTTGAACCTTTTTCACATTTTGCAGCATTAGAAGATGACCTAAAGCAGTGCTCATCCAAATGATCCCATGGTCTTCAAAAATAGAATAGTGTGGGCAGAATCATGCTTCAGGAAGCCTTTTTTCACATATTCACTTTCCCACAGAACAAACACTATATTTTAAGCACAATCTGTGTTCCAATGAGCAACTCTAAGTCAAAATCTTAAAATCAAAGGACTTTCTATGAAAATACAGCAATAATTCAAGATGAATAAAAATGCCACACATCCCACAATATAAATATATATGCACCATTTTCATTTCTACTAAAGTTATGCTCTAATTTGTGTTGAACTATCCCATATCAACCACTTTTTTTACCCCAGGTGGTTAACAATAAGTTAATGCACAATGCATTTGCATTCCACTATATGCTTTATCTAATTTGCAACCACTTTGCTTTGGAGATAAATGAAAAAAAAAAAGGTTATTCTGGTCACATACTTTGTTTTAAACATATCTCTATTGGCGCAGAGCAGGTTACTTCATGTAATAACTCTATTCATGTTTCTTTTCCCCCTGACAAGTGAATACAGCTTGATGTCTGCAGGAGACATAAAACCAATGCATACACCATTAAAATGTCATTTTTGGGCTTATATTATGCACATGTGCTGTTAGCTTTACCTAATGACATTTATTATCTGAGCATGTTCAGGTTTTTTTTTTTTGCAAATACCCTCTTAAAGATATATTTTACCGTTCTAAAATGGATGTAAGATAGAGTATTTACCACATTCGTTACATAGCAAGCTTTCGAAGATAAACGTAAGCATGTTATGCTGCGATGTTAAAGAAAAGATGAGTAAAGCAATGTAGTACATGTTCCATCTTGAATACATAAAAATGTCACACACAACCCACAAAACATCTTGAAAACATATAAGATCCAGACTGATTGAGTTTCCAGCTCCGCGTTCAGACTCTGTTCCAACCTCATGCGTTTTGTGCATCTGCTTTAGAGCTGTAAATCTTTCATCGGGAAGCTTTGGTTCCATTCATAATATCAATGTAAATTCTTCTTTGCATCTTGTTGCAGTTTCATTTGACTTTTTACTCTTTTATCCATAGCTTTTCTCCTTCAACGTTTCTCTTTTTTTTCCCCCTTTTCAGGTCTGAATCGTATGCCCCCAGAAATGCCATTGGATCTAGTGGGGATAGACATGTCCAATAACATCATCAAGCATCTCAGGCCTAAACAATTCCTGCTGTCCAAAGAACTCAAGCTACTCAACCTCAGCAGCAACAAACTTGAAAAAATAGATACAGGTAACTCATACATTCTAAGCTGAATGGGGGAGCTGCATGACACTTATCTATAAAAATGCTTTGACTGATGTATGGGTGCAAGTGTCTCTTTCTTCTATATGGTTGGATAATTAAGACTTTTCTGACCAGTCACTTAAAGAAATGGCAAACAGTCTCATAGGAACAAGCTTTCTAACATAGTATGGAGTTAAGTTATTTGGAGGTATGGTTACCAATATTATGATTAAGGATTTTATGCAAACCTTTTTTACAAGGCATACATCTAAACTGTGTTTCCACTCATCACTTACTGTTAGAAGTGAAGCAATTTGAATCAAGAAGTGCACAGTTGGTCTAGAGGAGTGTTTAGAGCAAATGTATTACATAATAAAAGCATAAGTAACTTTGGTAGTCCAACTTGAACAAATTGCTTTTTTTTACATGCTACTCACTCCGTTACTTGCAGTCTAACGCAATGCATTACTACAACTCGATCAATCGAAGCCATTTTTTTTAAAAAAATTTTGTATATGCACTCAGCTACAGGGAGGGATTTTTACTGCAGGGACAAGCAGGGGGCTGATATAAGCATACATGACACTGAATGGCTGAGGAGCCACAATGTTCAATATGCTTTAAACATAGAGGCACAATTAAAATCCCTTAAATCAGTAAGGATACTTAAGCCACAGTGGAAGTACGTCACCGGTTGCACAAGCTGTATGGTTGCACAAAATCAGGGCGTATTGGCACAGCCCACCTGACGGAGTTTAACAAAAATGCATTATTTCTTCAAATGTACTTTGTGTTAAACATACAAATGTACACCTTCATATATTTTGGGTTTTATAATGGAATGCTTCAACCCTTTGTACCATTTGTGTCACTTTTGTTTATATAAATTCTTTTTTGCAAAGCTGTGGTCCTAATGCGACAGGCATCAGTCATTTACCTGTCTGTTCCTTTCCTACTCAAGATAATGTTCTTACTTTTGACCGAGCAAAAAGTAAAGGGAAGGAAGCTAGGAACAGGAGGTAGGAGCTACAATTTGATGTATTTGGAAGTAGGGAAAGAACTGCTGTGCTGAATCTAAGGGACTGATTTACGCGGTAGCTCATGCTTGTAAAATTTGGACTACAGCCTTGCTAAAAAAGGAACCCCAAACGACAAAAATTACAAAAATTTAGAAAACAGCTAAAGCTCTACGTTATAAAAACATATAAAGGAGTGTACATTACATCACAGTGTACATGTCATGAAATAATGTATTTTTGTTCATCTCTATAAGTCAAGCTAAGCTTGTACCTGTATGTCCTGTCATGCAAAGGATGATGGGCAATTGTATAGCACCTAACAACGGTGGAAACATCAAAAGGTCTCTTTGCTAAATGAACTGGTGATAGGAAGCATCCTGTTTCCTTTTCGTAGCTTTTCCCTTACAGCCAGCACTATTCATTTAGCACTTATCATGGTGACAGCTGACACACTTCCACAGATTTTCTCTATTTGGAAGGATCCAGAGAAAGAGGAGAGATGATGATGCAGAGCCACAGATTAAAAAAGGAAATTAGGATTGAACTTGCTCAGTTTTATGTTGTTTCACACAGAAAAGCTGGGATTAAACAGTCCTGCTGGGGGATTTACTTGAGTAGTAAGACCCCTGTTACATTTCTCTTTCAAGGTATAGTTTTATTTTTGTTAAATTGCATAAAAGGCATTATTGTTACTCCTTCTTACCTATTTTATAGCCTTTCAAAGCATGTAAACACACAAAAAATAAATTTCTAAAACATTTTATTAGCGTTATTGTTGTTAGGAAAAAAAATCATAATCAGATCCACATATATATACCGTATTTTATTAAACCTCACTTGTCCAACCACGCACAGGAAAGTGATGCAAATTATTATGCAATTTGGTTCCTAGCACTGGTCTCGGGTCCTGCTTAATGTGGAGATAAGAATATGTTCTGGTCAAACACAACCCAAAGGTTTCTTTAAAAAACTACAACCAAAAAAAAAAAGACATTTTGTGTTTGAAGATTGTTTAAATGGTAAAAGGATGTAGTTGATTTCCAACAGGTAAAATTGTAATTGCATGGTTTCTCAAGTCCAATTATTATAATTGTTTTCAGTTGGAAATCCAAAATTACATAATTTGTCCAATTAATTATGATTTCCATCTGTGTTTTTGGATACATAAAGCTTAATATATACATAGTGTTTGTCATGCTTTTCAAAAAGAATATATTCAATGTGTTGCATCCTACAGAATTGATTCTTCATTCAAATAAATAAACAGAAATAAATCTAATAAGGGTAAGCCTTTAAGCATGTTTGATGTGTGTCTCTCGGAAATTATTCAAGTTCGAGGTATTTGGGATGAGCTAACATTCATTATATCAATATAAATTAAAACAAAAGCTGAGCATCTTCTGCATAGCAATGAATAACTATAGCTATGCAGATGGGCTTTATCTTTAATATTCCTTTCAACAGAAAATAATGGCAAATACATGAATAACAACTTCACAGGATTACTAATTTTGATAAAGATAGTCTAGATTTCAAATGAAAATGGGGAATATTTCTGACTTAAACCTAAATATAGTCTTGTGCTTTTTTGTTTCATCCAAAAAAGCTTATGTCCTATTCAAATTTTTCCTGAGATCATAGGGAAATGCATAGGTCTTTACAGAAACCCTAAAACATATTTTATCTACAAATAGTTTTTCTCTAAAGAAATGAAGGTACAGTAGTAAAATGGGAGTGGGATGTACAAGCTAAATTGTAAAGCATTTAAGTCAAAGAGAGACAACATTTGGAGATGTTGAAAAAGAAGTGGACCTGCCTTCTAATCAAGTCCTTACTACAACATACACTCATCATGTGTTTATGTATATACACATATGGGATCCACTATAGTGCTGTGTCTTATATCCATTAGTGCAATGTTTAGATAAAACAACTGACAACCAGTCCTTCAAACAGAAAGAAAATTATGTTGAAACAGACTGTTTTTGTAGTTTTCTTCTCTGAATACATTAACCTCAGCGGAAGAGGAATTCCTAAAAAAAATAAAAAATTACTCTCACAAGACTAACGATTTCTGACTTCAATTACACTATGCAAAAGGGAAATCCTCATGCAAAAGCCTGTGGTTTAATTTATTATCCATCAACACGCGTAAACAATCTATGGCAGCTCACCCAGTGTGTCTAACCCTATTTGTAAATCAAAGAAAAAAAAAAGTGCCATGTAATTCTGAGAGGTTTGTAAGACTGAGACATATGGCCGCAATCCTCCCAAAACCTTCTAATCATGTTCACATTTGGAGCAAATTCCTGAGAGGGTGTTTATTTATGCTTTGTATGTAGACGATGACCAGAGTAATGGGGAGAAAAAGCTGAATGAAAATCCAACACCAGGGTTGTTTTTGGATTGACTGATAATGTTGTTTTTGTTTTTTTTTTTTTTTTTTTTTTGCTTTTCTTAAAATCAGACAGTTATATTCTCCAAAATATGAACAGTCTCAAACTCTGGAAGATCTACCACAGACAGTAATGTGGGGTTCAGGTATGTGATAAGAGTAGTTAATTTCATCCTCTGGGAAAGCATTATGAACGTTTTTTCCCCTGGTAGTGGGGGGCTCCAACAACCAAAGGAACAGTAGCGGATCTGCTTCTGTCCTATGATTCACCAGATAACATACCTCAGTTGAAGACACCCCTTATCCTCCCTTCCCTCTCTGCAACAAATCTATTTATCTGTGCTGTAAAACAAAACTGGATGATTTAAGGCAGAGTTGCTTATAAAAGCTTAGCATAAATCATTGGTTGCTTTCCTCTTTTGTTTTTCATTTTGACACACTTTTCTACCATGATCAGTCCTCTCCTTGCATTTTTTTCCCCACCTCCTCCTCTTCCTCTCTTCCGCTCAGTAAAGATAAAAGCAGGGCCGGAGGCGGGTGGACAGCAAGAAACAGTCTTCGACCCCCCCATTACTCCCACTCTAAACACTTGCACATGCTTTCATGCTTACATGTTAAAGAAAAGCATAGTGACAACACCGGAGGCATTTAAAAGGCATCATTAGCCGTACTTGAAGCCACTGTTGGCTATTCGGGTTCTGTTAGGTGATTCGTTTGAGTGTTACTTATGACTAGATCCGAGGGCAAAACTTACTTTTAATGCTTCAGGGGGTTTTGCCCATTTAAAAAATAAGTAAAGGGGAGAACTCAAGTTAAAATGACAAATAGACATCCTCCTTATTGCACACATAAATGGATCTACTTATTTTAATTGCAGCTTGTTCGGTGTCAGGGCTGGCTTTTTAGGGCTGATAAAAGCCACTATTGATGGGAAGGTTTGAAATATTTGTGGTGTAGAGTGGATCCAGGCCAAGTGGAGCCATGGGAAAATGGATAATAGTGTCACACTGCCACTAGCCACAAGCGTTATTCCACCTTTTTTTCTTTTATGCATTTCGATTCCCATCTAGAATCTCCCTCATAATAACCTAAATATGCAAAATAACACAGAAGTTGAACAGTGGAATATGTCCATATGGGTACGGATGTCTAAGGTTGACCATCAATGGTCTTTAGGACTTTACTATCTGTAGCTACTTTTTCTATTCCTTTAATTTTGAAATTCTCTGGAGAATTAGAAAGTGAGTCAAGAGATCACATTGATCTTTCAGTTAGTTTTGGGCTTATCGAAAGCTTAGGTTGCATTAAGATTCATCTTAGAGACAATCCCCTAGAAAAAGGAATCTTTACAGTAATGATCAAACCACTACACAGCTTTGCTAACTCCCTGCTTAGAGATGAACATTATAAACAGACAAAAAGCAGAAGAATTTGGAGAAAATCTTAGACATCCTTAGAAGAAATGTAATATGTAGAATGTCCATAAAGTGCAGCAAGTGCTAGAAGAGTCTATGAATCAGTGTGTGCAGAATATGAAAAGGGGTTCAAGGTGATACTGTGTGGCTGCAGGTAGGGGTGCCCCTAGGGATTTTAAACTAGTTTACATGAAGCAATGCATATTTATGATGTTTTGCTTATATTCCCATATTCATAAAAATAAAAGCATGCCAGCTACTTAATAGTGGAAGCTCTTTAAGTATAATGATATTAAGTTAGATTCAGTTATTTGCTGCACGACTAACATTCCTATACTCATATCTGCCAAGCAGTAGAGATTACTGACCATACATCATACTCTAGTGGTAGCTGATGCTTCTTGCATTAAACCCCTATGTCCTGTCCTTACAACCTGGGCCAAATCTTATTTTTTCTCTGCTGTCATGCAAAGAATAATTCTCCCTGTAAGTGAAGCACAGGCTGTCTTGGCCAACAGGAATGTTTGACTTACTTTAAGAGGATCCTCTGAAAGTACTTCAATCTTTAAGGCATAAGTTTGTTTTTTTGGTACAAAAAACACAGAAAACCATTGTTTTTGTTTAGGTATCTATGGCGACACCAATGAGATTACCTATCTCTTCTGACACAAAGAAGTACAATTCAGTGGTAGACCAGGGATTCCAGAGTAGGGGTTATAGTACCCCTAGTGGTTTGTCAATGCATTGCAGGGTGTATGTGGAGACATTTGATAATTTATTTCCCAGATAAAGAAATACAATAAAATGGGTCTGGGATGGGTTTTGCTCTGTAAGGACCCAAATGCAAAATAAAAGACGATTTTATCAACTAAACAGATGAAAAAAATGTCCTAATCAACATTTACATGAAAGACTAGAGTGGGTATTGGTGCCTTGCACTACTGCTCTCAGAGGCAAAGACACAGGTCACAAGAGAAGAAAGCTCCAAAGCAGCTGCAGTTTACACACAGTGAATGATGAAAACAAAGTAAAAATGACAGTGAATGTGAATATTTTTTTCCTGATTTGTTAAGTTTGGATGTGTGTATAGGGGACTTATTCAGAAGAGCTCATGTATAAAAAAAAAAAAAAAAAAAAAAAAAAAACAACAACGTAGATTTGTAACTTAATTTGGATTTATTTCAGTACTTGTTCTCTTTCCAGTCAACATATTTATGTTATTTTATTCTAATCTGGAAAATAATGAAATGTCTGAGCATTAAATGTTAAGAAAATTAACAAAAATATTTTAGATTTTTTTTAATCAGTTGTACTTTCTATTCTTATAATATAACACGTTTGACCGAGGGGGTACTCATGGTGAGATAAAATGGCCAGGGGGGTGCACAAGTCAAAAAAGTTTGGGAACCACTGTTCTAGACTCCTCCAGAAAAGCTAAACAAATCAAATAATTTATTAACTTTTACTAAAGGAAAAGTCCATCCTAACAGGTCATTTTTGTTTAGTAACATATCCTTCTGCTGATGGTTTTCTGAATTTTAAAGATGCAAACTCATCTAATGCTAAAACAGGTACATATTAAGAGGAAATATTTTGCTGATGTTAAATATACATTTGATTTTTTTTTTAGTTTAACTGTAGGTTTTTATATTTTTCTTATCAAACATATATGTGGTACTTTGTGGGTTAAGCTAATTTTTCCTGCATCTTTCCCTCCTAGCTGCTTTTGCAGGCCTGCTGTACCTCCGTCACCTTGATCTGTCCAACAACAGCCTTCGGTATTTCCCTTACGGCGTACTGGAGGACCTGTACTTCCTACGGAAGCTTAACTTGGACAACAACCCATGGATGTGCGACTACTACATTCACTACTTGGTCTACTGGCTCAAACATCACCCAGCTGTCTCAGTCACTGGCCTGATCTGCTCAGAGCCAGAGGAGTTCAGGGGCTGGAGAGTGGAAGACTACGTCAAAACCTACAACGGGGAGTGTCCTATAGATAAACAGATAGAAGACAATGACAATGGGCAGGGAGCACATGGAGGGTCTGAGAACGAAGCACAGCAGGTGATGGGGGAGATGGCTGAAGGACAATTGGATCTTATACCCCAGCCCATAAGGAAGAAGGAACCCAATGAGATAGACATCATCAGATTGAGCTAGAATGGGAGAAATTTACACATGACTATTGACCTGCAGGTCAGACGTCAACATGGATTTAAAAAAAATCAGTGATTAAGTGTTAAAGATATAGTATGTGAAGTAAAATATTGAGTAAAAGTATTTCTTAAAAAGCAATTTCCATCCTCATTAATAAGCATAAAATAGGATGATAAACATTTGCTCTAACACTTATTTGTTTCATTGCCTTGCTGCTTTGTTTTTTAAGTGGTGGGCTTTAAATTCTATTTATCTTATATAAGAATATTTCCAAACCAGGCTGTGTTTGTTGCCAAACCCTGACATTCCAGCTGGTTAGATTGTGGTGCCTTTTTGTTTTGTTTCTGTGCAGTAACACTGAGATCAGGATATGTTTTCTTTGGTTTACTTGTTATTTTTCAGCTTAATGTCTGACATTTTCTGTATTTTCTCTGGAATAAATTTGGGTCTATTTTTTGTTTTGTTTTCCAGATTGCTTGTTTTACTTATAAACAGGAATGACTAATAGCAAATTGTCTATGTAGAAATATTTAATTTGTGGTAAAGTGAAATCATGACAAATGGCAGGAATCAGAAATTGGCTCCGCTTGTTCTACAGGGACATTGATGATAATTTTTCTCATTCATTATGCTGATCTGATGTTGCGAAAGAATGATTAGAGAACATTACGTCTATTACAAACATGCTTCTTGTTCCATTTGGCATATTAATCTCAGTTCCTACCCCGGATCTGTCTCAAGCATATATTGTAGGTAACATTTCTTTTTAGCAAATGCATCAACAATAAGCAAGAAAAACTGATAATAACAATACCCAAGCCAGTATCATCAATTACCTGCTGGATACCGGGCACACAATTATCGTTAGTGACAAAAAGTATTGGTTTCCTCCAACCTTTTCAAATATTGTCATAGTGCTACTGCCTAACTCTTTGTAGGGGAGTGGTGGCCTAGTGGTGAGAGCAGCAAGCTTGTACTCTGAGAAGCATGCAAGTATCCGGTTTAATCCCCACAGCCTGCACTGTGGGTCCTTGAGCAAGACCTTTAACCCCTGATTGCTCTCCAGGCGCCATACAGTGGGATCAATGATGTTTAATTATTAGTATTTTGACAGGGTTTTGTGATAGAAACAAAATATGACACATATTCAAAAGTTATGAGAGCCTCAGCAAGTATTTCAAGTTCAAATTATGAACAGCAAGTGATTTTTTTCACAAGAAATTATAACATTTTCTGGTATCATAGCCCTTTAAAAATAATGCAGAATGTTTTTTCTTTTTTTTGTTGAGAAAATTGCAATAAGTTGGTATATTTATAATCCCGACTTAGCGTCTGTGGAAATCCTTTCTATTCATTTCAACTCATGTTTCTCTTTATTATGAAAGACAAACAGAATCCAACTGTACAGATCATGTGCTGGTAACCAGCACCATCTGGTGTTCAGACAATGTCCTTCACAGATCGACAACTTTACGTTGGACATAGGTTAGAAACATGTAGTGATCAATTTCCATCAGGTCAAACTGTCCTGCTTCATTTTCTTAAGTTAATAACAGGCAGATAGAGGTGGTTGAAAGACATTATTATCAAAATATGCAGCTGTTTCATGTGTATGGCACATTGTGTAAGATACTTAGGTCTACAGTGTACAGTATGAGGAAAAGATCAAAGCTTTACACATTTTAGCAAAACTGCACTGTAACCCCCCCCCCCACTCCCCCAACACCTTCCCACTTCTTGTGAGACAGTTGCTGAGGCTACTTAGGGATTCAAATGTGTCCATTTCTAGAAGATGAATTAGAAGTCTAATAGGTAGAATGACACCATGGACCTGTGGAAAAGATTGTTTGACTGTAGTTTCCCCTGAACACTGATCATAGATTGGAGAAAACGCTTCATCAGCATTCCTCTAAGATCAGATGCAATGAATATCTCCTCAGCACCTCTCTATTTTAGCTGATTTTCGGTTCTCTATGCCACATAAATGCATCCAGCATAATGCATCCTGGTTTCTTTCATTCCTCAGCATTCTTGATAAATAAAATGTCCTTCACATTGTTCAGCATCTTCAGTCAAAGTTTCCCCAAGTCAGCAGCATGACTTCTTCTCCTTCTCCGGTGGAATGTAGGCCCCTATGCTGATGTCTATCGGTCGAGAGTTCTCCCTGATTAGAATCCTCGGCATGCTTGGGTTTTCAGCATCAGCCTGCTGGACATGAAGGCCATTCCGAGACAACAGCTCCCTGGCCATCATTAAGAAAGCATCCTCCACATTCTGACTTTGCTGTTAAAGAGAAAGAAACTCAAATGAATACAAAATTAAATCGCATTATAAATTTGAATCTGTATTTATATGTATTACCTTTGCAGATGTCTCCAAAGCAGCTAGTATACCTCTTTCTTTTGCCAGATTGCAAGCTTTTTGGAATGGAACCTCCCGTTCTTCCTCCAGGTCACATTTGTTACCTAAATGGAGGACATCATGAAGTCATTGAAAAAAATGGATATGGAAATTACACACACCTCAGATGTACTAAAACTTAAATTTTTGCCCAAGAAAATTATCCACAGAAAACAGAAATTAAAGGAAATCAAAATCCAGACTTGTTTGGCAGTATAATCAAATTTTACTTCTAGGGTTCTTTTCTTGCTGCTTTATAAAGATAGGTGCAACAAAAAGGTTGCATGTTCTACAAGCTGTTGAGAGCAGTCAAAAGAAAGATGAGGTTCTAAGAAATTTATTTCACAATAATAACTATACCAAAAATGTTTATGCAGCTTTTACATATGTAGGCTATCCCTAAGTGCTCTATATTATTGTTATTTCTGCTCCAAAGGTATATAGATGTGCACAGAATATCTTATATGTCACCTTTGGAACAACATGACTCCAGAACATTTTGCATGACTGTTGCATCTGACTGTAAAGTGCTAAAATAGTGTAAAAACATTATCTGCAATTGAGTTTTAGATTTGAAAAACTATTTTGCATGTGGAAAATGTTTTCATTTTAATTTCCTCCAACCAGAAATTGCACGGTTTGGTCATATTATGATTTGATGATGACACACACACACACAAAATAAAGTTTTGCAGACACTGTCTGCTGAAATACAAACACAGATCACTGCACTTTTATATTTCTGCTCTGCCCATAGAAACAAGTTTGCACGTCTTTTAGGGCACATAAACCCTCTAAAGATCAGGCCCATAGTGTCCTAATTTATCACTGAGGTCCAAATGCAACTCACCTATTAGCACCAAGAGTACATTGGCTGCTCCATACAGCTCTACCTCCTTGATCCAGTGGTCCACCGAGTCAAAGGTGCAAGCTCGTGTGATGTCGTAGGCAATCATGGCACCATGAGCGCTGCGATAGTAGCTCTGTGTGATGGTGCGAAACCTCTCCTGACCCGCTGTGTCCCAAACCTGCATCTGTCCCACAGAGAAACACATCCAGATTTATGTTCACATTATTTTAAGGATTTAACTTATTTTTTAATAGTGGTAAAAATTGACTTTTGTCTAGCGTCACTGTTTTAGGTGTAGATACTTAATAAAGGGAAAGTTTTTATTATAAAAGACTTAGACTTGGGCAACTTTATTGACAATTTGTATATACAGTGTATGCAAAACAAAATGTAATTTATGCAGCTTTCAGACAGGGAATGAGCAGCAGCTTAGCAGGGAAAAGGAACATTTCCATTCCATAAAGTGCAGCATTGATCAAAATAAAAGATTGATAATTAGAGATATTTATCTCTCTGCTTAATGTTTGATATTTACACATTGTTAACTAGGAAAGTAATCAGCAGTGGTTTAAAAGAAGCAATTTTCCCATTGATTGGACCGAAAATAGTTAAAAGGAAAATGGACAGAGTCTCAGCATGTCACTATGAAGATATGAAAGCGGTTATTAAGCAAACATTATTAAAGGCTGCGGCTAATCCCACAAGAAATCATGAACTCCGATTAGCTGTTAGAGTTGAGGGATAAGGTTGCTGTAAAAGCTGAAAAGCAAAGCAACTTCAGTCAATAGAAAAAGGAGGGGGAGCAGAAAAATACGCCTGAATCCTTGCTATTTTAGTTTGTTTATGTACAAGTTAGGGTTGGCACAGTGTTATGTAACAGGATGTTATTTACATAAATGATTGCATTTTTGCTTGGAGGTATAGGTCTTTATTTTTGTCTTGATAATATTTAAGGTAAATAATTACTTTTGTGAGTGTCTTCTCACAAAAAGTAGTCTTCTCCTCTAGTACTACTATGAATTGAAGCTAAAGATGCTTTGTGATACCCACTGTCACAACCAAAAGCAGTGGGAGATAACACAGAGAGAAAGACATGATTAATTTGACTTATGTTGTGGAAAACTAACAATAAAAATAATGATGTGATATGTAATTAAACACAAACAAACCAAACCTAGACTAGGGTTTAACCCCAAACCTGGGCTGCCTGCTCTGGGTTTGTCTTACCTACGTAATAGCTGTTTCTTTGGCATTGATATATAGACTTAACCGCCTGTATTTCTAGGAGGCAAAGACAGTTCAACACTTAAAACTCACAAAGGAACCAAATGTGAAATTTTCTGCTCAGTAATGATTCTACAGTTACAATTTATGTTACATGAATAAATTCCTATATATTGTTTTTTTCTCGCCATCTCGGTTAGAGTTTTCTGATTTAGGAACTATGGAAAATCATTGGATTTATTGGTTATGCTTGAATCTATAAACTTAAAAAAAGCATGTACATGACCAGGTGTGATGAAAGTGATGCTGTCATACTGAGGCATTTGAGGAGGTAATAGGAGATTTTTCAGGGTGTTGCTTTGGTTTTGAGTGCAGATGTGGAAATTATCCCCAATAATCAGGCTGAGAAGTGGATTCATTTTTATGGCGATTATAAGGAAATAACAGTTTGCATCAGCAATGATAGCAGAAACTCTTTGGTTTCCCCTGTGGAGAATCTAGAGTACTCAGATATCTCTGAGAGTACTCTCCAAGGATCTACAGTGAGAGACCTTTGTATCGTTGTAGCAACCAGACTAGACTCAAAAAGCAAACCCCTTTAATTACACCACAGCAATAAAGCTAGTCAGTTAGAGAACAGTTTAATAAATTTAAAGCAAACAAATAAAGGAAATCAATTGCTGAACATAAACTTGGTGCATCTTTTGACCTAAATACATATTTAAATGTAGGTTAAATAAATGATAGACCAAATGTGTTTTGAAAGTAAAAGCACACTTGGCAATAGAGTATTTTAGCAGTGAAATAAAATCTTAACAATGACTTTCTGTTGGTTAAAAATAACTAAGCTGGAAAACCAGCTTTGTAGATGTAGCTTCAGGCAGAAAAAAGCAGATGAAGACACAATAATCACTCATCTGAACAATCCAGTCTTGGCAGGTATTTTAACTTATAACAGCCTCAAGGTGCAGTAACTGTTGTACAAGATTTGTAAAAACAAATTAAAACCCTTCCAGAGGTCACCCAAGCTGCTAATATTCAACATTTAGTCAACAAAATATTGATCTGTTGACTGTTAACAAAATATTTTGATGTAATATGAGGACATTTTTTCTTAGCATAGATGAAATCCCAAATCCTCAAATTAAAAAGCAAAATCAATTACAGATTGAAAGTCTCTTCCAAAATAGGAGCTTTTATGCTTTTCATAATGATATTCTTTAAACTTAAAGAGGAGTGTTAAAGGGGTTGTTATGGATTTGTTATCGGCCAACTTTAGGTATTACCTCATATAGGAATAAAATGTATCCCTCTGAAAGCACCTTTCCTATTGTGAAATACAGTGGTGGCAGCAGCATAGAGCTGTGGGGAGGATTTGCTTCAAAATGGATAAGAAAGGCTTCTAAATGATGCACTATTTTGTTTTTTGTATATTGCATACAATCCTGATAAAATCAGGTGAACTAAATGGAATCAAGGGGTACGATTTCATTTTATTTATTTCTTTATTTAGGTCGGTGGATGCAGAACTAATTAAGGTCTTAAAAAGTAACAGCTTCCTTTTCTAGTGAGATAACAGTAGATGAGCGTCTATTTTTGCAGTCACCAAAGGGAAGAACCTGATTGGCAAGTTCTTCATACCAGCAGCCAGTCAGACCTGTTTAGGCCCAAAGCAAACTGCCATTACAACTTGCTGTAATGTCACTGAGGATACCCGCTTTAAAAGGGGTCGTCTCACATATTTCTGCATAAAATATGAATGAAATCTAATTGGAAGCTGTTAAATGAATCAAAAAGGTAATAAATACCTAGAAAATAGAAGCTCTACTTTTGATTATCTGTCATAAGTATCTTCAAACCAAAACACTTCAGAAAACCTTAATGCCTCTTATATTTGTAGATCCTTTACTTATTGTCTTCTAAATATCTAACTAGAATAGAAAAAAATATGTAGAAAACTTACCTTTACTTTCTTTCCATCAATATCCACCGTCCTGACAGTAAAATCCACCCCAATGGTGTTCTGCTGTTTCTCTGAGAAAATCCCTGACTTGAAATTCTGGACAATGCAGGTTTTCCCCACATTGGTGTCCCCAATAAGAATGATCTTAAAAAGAAAATCAAAAGTGTCATCGTGCTCGGGTGCTGGTCCCTGCATTGTGGAAGTACAGCAGAGTGTGTCTGCGTCTATTTCAGCGTGAATAGAGGAAATTATCTCTCCTTTAGCTGCACTCTAGATCACTTGGAATGCTTGACCTTTGAAGCTGGAAGGTGATGGGTTATCTTTGTGTTTGAATCAAGGCAGAAAAAGGACCCAATAATAAGAAAAAATTGTTACAAGCAACAACAGCTAAGCAGAATATAAATCAGCAGATTAGATGATGTCCTCAATGTGATAAAAGCACCAGAAATCTTTTTTTCTATGTTTTATAAAAAGACAATAAATTATTTCCAGTTCTGCATTCTTTCTCTCTTGTATTCCCTGAAAGTTAAGTATTTCCTTCCGCTCTCGTGCTCTTTCAGTGCTACAAAAATGCGTTATTTCAGCTGCTCCTTTCAGCTCCTTCTCAGGTGTTGACCCACTTTACCGTCCATGGTAACCAACAACATAAAAATCCCTTCCATCCTTTGTGTCCTCATGAATAATCTGCAGTAATATCAATAAAAGAACAAAAATCTTCCAGTTAGTAGGTGTGAAATCGTATCACCTCATAGCAGTCTGTCGTCCCAGGTCTCTCTTACACACATAAACACACACATTCTCTCTTGGTTCCTCCCTCTGGGTTTCTCCCATCAGTTTTTCCTGTTCTTCCTCACCTGAGTCCTGCCCTCCTCACATGACCCACAGGAACAATAGAAACCAGCTCCACCTGTTATGAATACGTAGCCCAGCTCCATATCTAATGTTGCACTATGGGAAATGCAGTTAATGAGCAGTGAACTTTCTTAACCTGTTCCTCCTGAAAGAACTGTTGCATTAATCTAGAGCAGAAGCTATTACTATAACTTGTTTTACAGGTTCCATTTGCGGCAAGGAGTCAAACTGGATTCCAGGTGATTTATTTAATGAATCTATAGTGCTTCACATATAGTTTTCATATTTACCAATTTATTAGTATCAGTTGTATAAAGATTTCCCCAACAAAAATAATTACAAAGCGACAAATGATATAGATGTTTACTTAATTCCTTCTTCAATACTAACTGAATTAAAGCCATTTCTTTTTTTATTCTTCTTTTGAGACAGTTTAGAGCAGTTATAATCAAAACTGTTGTGGTAATATGGTTAAAAATGGGGAGATACATTGTTATACTGTAGCATTATGTGAAATTTTAATCAATGAAATCTGCAAGCATTAAAATTGATTAGATTTTCTATCCATATTTGGTCATTGCTTATAATAGTAATTATTTTTCAGTGACATAATAGAAGTAATGTATCAGGGCTGATAGCTGATTTCAGTTATCAGACCAAAAGTTTATCTTTCACAAACTTTTCAAGTTTGTGAAAGATAAACTTTGGATAGAAAATCTAATCAATTTTAATGCTTGCAGATTTCATTGATTAAAATTTCACATAATGCTACAGTGTGCCGAAAAGTTTTCACAAACTTTTCAAGTTTGTGAAAGATAAAAAAAAAAAAAAATTCAATTTGACATTTTTTAGATAGCAGCCGTCAGAAAATACTGTATAAAGTGAATTGGAGACAGGCTGTAAGTATAAAACTCCATGGACACAAGTTGATTTTTGACTTTTCCCTTAACCCTCTCCAGGCAGATGTTACAGATTTGCAACAGCTAAATCCCATTTAGCTAATTACTCCACATCCATATTTTAAGAGCTTTTGTTACTCAGAAGTACAACAGAAGGACAGTTTCTCTCCAGCTTACCAGATAGCACTGCTGACTCACTTTCAACATGGCTGAGTCCTTGGTGTCACTGAAATAGATTTTCTAAGCACCAATTTCATTTAAGTATCACTATCAATTTCCATTATTTTGAAATCAATACTACACAAGATGAATCATGAATGTGTATAGATATGACATACTGTATGCCAATGAGTAGATTTGATTTCCTCTGGGTTTTTCACCAGAGGCATCTTGATTTCAATGTTGGGGATTCGCAATGTGTGCCCAAACAGGTACCAATGGATGCTACATGCTTTATCTACTAGTTTGCCTATATTTTGAGCAACAGTTTAACAGAGACGGCCTTCTCAAGAGCTTTTGAGATGTTGGTGTAGAAAATGTTTGAGAAAAAGTTGTCTCTAATTTTGTGAGAGAATTTTTTTTTTTTTTTCGAATTTTGTTTTGTTAATTTTTTGTTTGTGACATTCAAATAAAGTTAACGTTCATATCAGATCCAGTCTTTAGTTTTAATTTACCACTCCGGGCCACTGTTGCAAATCTGCAACATCCCAGAATTCATTGCAAGTGAAGGTCTCTCTCAAAAAAAAGTCTGAATTGTATACAGTATTACTACCCCATATGATCATTTTCTCCAAATATCAGATTTTTCCTGCAACTACATCTTAATTTTAACCTGAGAGGGTTAACATATTGCTCAACAAACCACAGAGGAAGATTAAAAATGAAGGCAGATGTAATAAATTTCAAAAGAAAAACTTACAGACCCTTAAAAACCTTGTACAATTACTTCGAGTTGCAACAATGAGCAGCATATTCTTATTAACTTTTTCTCTGTGTAGATGATAGTCATGCAGAGTAGAATAGCATCTAGATACTTCAGGGATGATGCTCTTTTCCTGTTCAGTCAGCTCCCAGTTTGAAAAAAAAAACAGTTTTTCTTTTCTATTAAATTTAAGACTAACCTTAAAATTTTGCTCAAATTCACAGATAAAGTTTTTTAGGTTATCTTGAGCTATTTAGAATAGCCAGCAGGAGGACTCCCTGACAGTTTTTTTCTTCTTCTTGCAACTCAACTTCATTAGTGAATTACAGTTATGGCTATTTTCTCATGGTTTTTTGTTCCTTTCTGTTGATTATAGTATTTTTAGCTCAGTGAGTGTTAACTATTTCAGAGTAAATTATAATAATTGATTCATAAAATGACTGGCGACCTGTCCAGGGTGTACCCCACCTCTCGCCCGTAGACAGCTGGAGATAGGCACCAGCACCCCTCACGATCCCACTTGGGATAAGCGTGACGGAAAATGGATTCATTAAATTGGACAAAAGCTGGGTGTGTTTGTCCTGCAAAGTGCCATAACATAAGATTTGCTTGAACGAAAGCTATTTAAATAGATTAAACTAGCAAACATTTATCCCAAAAACTGCAATAAGTGAAGCAAAAATCATATTGAGAATCAATAAAATTGTTGGCTGGCCGGCTGGGGTTGTCCCCCCCCCCTTATTCATTTATTTATTTATTATTATTATTTTTTTTTTCTTATCTTCCTTTTATATTTTTTTATTAATTTAATTAATTTATTTTTTTTTTTTATCTACTTATTTATTTATTTTTTATTATTTTTTTTATTTATTTTTTTGGATGGACAGGACGGGGGGGTGGTGGTGGTGTCGGCTCCGTGCCCGGCTGGCTGGTGGGTCCTGCTGCCGGTCCCGTGCCCCCGGGCTATGGTGGTGAAACTGGTGGGGCCCCCTTCTCTGGGGGGGCTCTCGGGGAACGGGGGTGCCTATTGGAGTCAGTGGGGGAGCTGGCTCCCTGGGAGTGCAGCAAGCACCCCAGTCCTTTGCTCCCCATCCCCGAAATCCTCCCTCTGCCTGCTCCATCACTCTGCCACACATGTAGGTTTTTGGGGAGGGGGTCGTTACTGGAGGGCCACACCTTCTGATGACGTCCCCCACACCAATTTTATTTTGCATTTTAGACACTTCCATCTACATCATTTTCACAACACACATCTATGTAGGGCATTTTCGGGGGGTGGGGGTCAGGGCCACAGGGGGGGGGGGCTTATTTTATGGGCCTCACCACGGTCGGCCTCCTCCATCCCCTCTCGCATCTAGACATTGAGGGTTGAGGGTTGTCGAAGGGGGGGGTGTGCTGGCACCGTCTATCTCCTGGAGGGGGGGTGGAGTGTGCCGGACACCCCCTCTTGGTACTCCCAGTTTTAATTGCATCTGAGAGCAACACGCAAAAACACCACATCCGAGCGGGCGCAGGGAGGATCGGGGTCTTCTCACACCCCTGTTCTCCGGCTGCCGCCTGGAGTCTGGGGCCTGGAGGAAGAGCGGGCCGCCTGGTCCGTGGTTTTGGCTGGGGCTGGCTGCGGGGCCTAGGTGGCCTGCTGGTGGCGGGGCTGTCACCTCTGCTCTCCCCAAAGAAGGTTGGATGGAGGGGCATGAAGTGCCTGGTTGAAGGTTTTTTTTTTTTCTTTTTTTTCTTTCTGGGGGGGGCGGTTCTGGTTGGGTGGCCGGCGCAGGATGGGTGGGCCCCGGTCCCGGGGGGGGGCTCTTGCTGGGGGTGGTCCGGTCCGTGTGCGGGGTGGGGGGCCGGGCTTGAAGCAGGAAAGAGATGGGTTGGTGTGGCGGTGTCGCCGCTCCCCTCCCCTCACATCCGGATTTTAGGTTCACTTATGGGGTCATCCGATAGTCCCGGGACCGACCACCGGTGTCACCGGGTTTTTGGTCCTGGTATTATTGGATGTGAGTGTTATGTGTGAATGTGTGTCCGCGTTGTTATTTTCTTTATTTATTATTATTATTATTTTATTCAATTTTTTTTTTTTTTTTCCTGTGGTACGAGTGGGGGCACTAGGGAGGGAAGGCATGATTGAGATGGTGTGTTTTTTTTTTTTTTTTTTTTTTCTCCCAGGTTGGGGTCTCAACCGCACCCTCTCCCAAATACATCTCAAGTCTCCGCTAAGTGCGGAGCCCATTCCCCCCGTCCTGCTCTCCCTCCGCTGGCTGGCGTCGGGGCTCACCGGTGCACTGGTGGAGCTGGGGGTGGATGCCCGGGGGACTGCTGGCTCATTCCTGGCGGCCTCTCCGCTGGCCCCGGCCGGCCGGGGCTTTGCTGGGGCTCCTGTCTGGGGATCGGGTGCCCTTGGGGCCTCGGATCCCTGGGGCCTGGGACTGGATCCGCTTCGGGGTGGGGCTGGGTGTTGTTCGGGGATTTTCGGGGTCGGTGCCGGTGCCTTCGCTACGATGCCGGTTCCTGGGCGGTGTTTCTTTCCTATGCCGGTTCTGTGGTACCGGTTCGGGGGGGGGGGGGGGGGGGGGGGGGGGAGCTGCACGGCATGGTGGGGTGCGGGTCTTGGGTCCTGTTTTGGGCTCCGGTTTTTCCGCTCGCACTTCTCCTCTTGCCTATTTATTTTAATTGTAATTATTAATTAATTAATTAATTTACCTATTTATTTATGTTTTTTTTTCTCTTCCTCGGTGGGGGGGAGCGGTTGCGGGTGGGTCGGTGTCTGGTGTCCGCTGTCGCATTGTGGGGGCATTGTTTTTTTTTTTTTTTTTTTTCTTCTTCCTTTGGGGGGTTTGGCATGTCTGTTTTCTCGGGGGGCGGGCGGGCCTGCTGGGTGGGGGTCCTGCTGGCGGCGCGCCGCTGGTGTGTGGGGGTCCGGGCGGCTCCGGCGGGGGGTCGTGTTGGGGGCCCGGTCTGGGCGGGCTGGCTGCGCTGGCTAGGTATTCGGGTGGGTTTTCCCTCCTGGAGGCATGGCTGCTCTGTTCCCGCTGATCGCGGCGGGTGGGGCTGCGGGGTGGGTGGGGGCCTGGAGTGGCTATGGCCAGCGCGTGGTGGGGGGCCGGGGCGGCGGAGCTGCTCTGGCCGCGTGTCAGGGCCTGGTGCGGGCGGCGGGGGGGGCGGCGGACGTGGCTGGGCTGCTTTGGCTTCGTCCGGTGGGGGGGCGGCACGGTTCGCTCCGCTCTGGCTTTGTGCTGCCCCTCGGGCTGCTGGGGGGGGTGGTTGCGCCGGCTGCGGTCTGCTCTTCTTGCGGTTTTGCGCCGGGTGGCTTTTCTGCTCTCGGGCTGATTCTGTGCGCGATGTTTCGTTGCGCGCTGTTGGCATCGGTCTTGGTGGGGTGGGGCTGCGCTTTTGGCCGGGGGGGCGTTTTGGGGGGGTCCCGCGGCGCTCGCGGCCGGTTCGCGGGGGATGCGCATGGGCCCCGGCCGGGGGCGGTGCCGCCTGAGTGTTTTCCTGGGTGGTGCGGTCGCGGTGGGTGTTGCGGCCGGTCGCCGGGGCTTGGTGCTGGGGGGCGGGGCGTGTTTCGGTGCTCTGTGGGGCTGGGGCGTTTCGGTCGGCGCCGTGGGGGGGCTGGTGTTCGGTGCCCGGCCCTACTTCGGGGTGGCCGGCTGCCGGCGGGGCCCGCGGACTCGTCCCCGCGGCTCCCCGGGGCGCCGGCATGGCGGTGGCTGGGGGGCATGAAACAAGTGGAGCAGTATGGCAATTGCCATACCGCTACACTTGTGAAAGTAAAATCTGTTGGGCTCCTTTTGGCATCAAGACAATTATTCTTATTGCCACCTTGCCAGACAGGACACTGTAAAAAAAAAAAAAAAAAAAAAAAAAAAAAAGAGAATCAATAAAATTAAAGCACTTATTTATAGTACCATTAGATCTTGCACAGATGATTAACAATCTCTTCAATTGGATCATTTCCTTGCGATTTCTGTAAGGAGGAAGAATGTGCTTGAACAAACTCACTGAATACAAAGTGATGGTGGATTATGACTCAGCTTGGTTTCATGGCCTGAATATAAAAACACTAATGGTTTCTTAAAGTAAAAGATAAACTGATGAAGGAATGAAAAGGCGGCTATACAATTCACTGGATTTAAATTAAATTGAATATATGTTAAACATATAATTATAAAATAGTAAAAAATAAAAATCCAAGTATTGAAGGAAAAAAAAATCTAAGGACATTGCATAAACTATGCCTTATAGAATACAGCCTAAAATAATAAGCTTAAAATTTAAATTAGAGTAGGTTTCTCCAGAGGAAGATTAGGGCCACTGAAAAAAAAAAAGTTAACTTATTTTTACATTTTATTTCAGTATAATATGAGAAAAAAGTCAGATTTCTGACTTTAATCTAAGAATTCTGACTTTTTTCTCAGGATTCTGACTCTAATCTCAGAATTCTGACATTTTTCTCGGATTTCTGACTGAATTCTGACAGCTAACAAACATGTTAGCATCAAGCAGTAGCCATGTCTGTGTTAGAGACTAGCTCTCTTGTTTTAATCACCTTCTGCTCTTCCATTAATGAAACAGCATCACCGGGGACCCTCGGGCATGTAAAAAGTTGCCTAATTCCGTCATTTTCCACCAATGTGTTACTGGCCCTTCCAAACAACTCACATCTTTGTCAGTGAAGTTGAGTGCTCATACATCTATGTCTTCATAGTGCCCATCTACATTAAAATCCTAAATTCTAAGATTAAAGTCAGAATTCTGAGATTAAAGTCAGAATTCGGAGATTAAAGACCGAATTCTGAGATTAAAGTCAAAATTCTTAGATTAAAGTCAAAATTTTGAAGTCAGAATTCTGAGATTAAAGTCAGAGTTGTGAGAAAAAAAGTCAGAATTCTGAATAAAAAGTCACAAGTGTGAGAATAAATTCAGAATTCTGAGATTAAAGTCAGAATTATGAGAAAAAAAAGTCAGAGTTCTGAGATTAAAGTCAGTGTTCTGAGATTAAAGTCAGAATTCTGACCTTTTTCCGATATTAAACTGAAATAAAATTTAAAAATTAGTCAACATTTTTATTTTTTCAGTGTCCCTAATCCTGTTCCGTAGATTTCAGTTATTTCTAATTTCATATTCCCCATTTACAGTTTTGCTTTTCAATGAATGGCATATCAGAAATCAGAAGTCTCGTATTTCCTACATTTCCACAGGCAACTTGAAGGCAGCACAGAGTCAGCATCCAGCCCGTCATCGTGACGTCCTGCGGATGCAGACAGATGCCCTTACTGCCTCCACTGCGGGCTCCTCGCCGATGTGTTTTTTCCTTATATTAAAGAAGAAAAAGGCATTTTGAAGCGCGTCCACAGAGATCATGCAGAAGAGCTCAGTGGTCGTGGTGGCGGATAAAACGAGTCTGAAAAGGCCGTTTATTTTCGCTAACGCTGTACATATGGTAGGTGCATTCCAGTTTATCCGAACAGGCCTGTTTTGATACCTTCTTAAAATTTATAATGACATTTTTTTTTTTTTTTTGTAATATTAAATAATGCTAAATTTGTAGTAAATAATGATTTCCAGATGCGTTAAATGCAAGCTGGTCAATATTTTTGATGCCTGGTGTTATTATTGTTTTTCCTTTCTTATTAAATAAGTTCCTGCTCCTTTAAGGAGTGACAGCAGTGCGTTCAAGAATACTTATCCTTTGAGGGTTGACATTATAAGCTGCAATGCATAATCTCTGTGGAGAGTCTGAATTAAAGAGGATTTGAATTTATTTGTTTAGGGGGAAAAAACTGAAATTAAACATTTTGAGATGTTTTTTTTTTCAAGGCTTTGTGTTTCTTCATGTTGAGGCTGACTGTGATTTGGCATCGGGACCTTATACAAACTGGCAAGGTAAGATATAATTTTGATGTTTGTCAGTTTTTGTTATTTTAATTGGATAAATGTAGTTTTTTAAAGCAAGGAAGCAGAAAAAAAGGGATTATTAATGAACCCTCTCCAATGATTTCACCTGAACTTACCATGGCAGCATTATTTTTATATAATCTTCCTGGAATGACATGCTTGCTGAAATATTTTAGAGTAACATCTTGAGTGGTCTTCTAAAGGTTTTGAAGATACATTTAATTTGTTTATATAGTGCAAAGCAAAATATAAGACAATTATAACATAAACTGCCCATATTAGATTGCAATCTAATATATTAACCCGAAACAGATTATTTTAGGGAATATTAAGAAAAATTCAAAAGTAAAAAATTCAAAAAGTAGGGCGTTGTTGGAAAAATGCATTGCCCTCTTTTCCACATGCAAATTTGTCTTTACTTTATTATCAACATGCCAAAAATTTTTGTTTAAAGTAACAGTACACATAACCACACAATATAGTTTCTGGTTTGTGCAGCGTAGGCTTTTTTTTTTCCAACCCACTGACTACACTTTGATTTTCTCTTAAGATGGTGCCCAGTATTTCTGTAGCAATGATGTACGTGATCGAAGTCGGCTGCCTGCTGCTGTCAGTGCTCGGTGTGTTCGGAGCCTGCAAAGGAAAGAGATGGTGTTTGATTCTGGTAAAACAAACACATAAAAAGTGTTTTTTTGTACAAATTTATGATAATTATTATAACATTGGTGTCTTTTTGCAGTATGCAGCTGGCATGGCAGTGGCAAGTCAAACTATAATTATCAGAACGGCATTAAGTTATCAAGATGTTTATGAGGTATGAGCTTTAAATCCCATGTGTTTGCATATTTAACAACATTTTCTTTAGAGATCTCCTTTTTCTGGCTTTAGAAACGCGTTGTCCGTGAGGAGTCCAAGCTGCTGGCCATGATGCCGCTCACTGGGCCGAACAAAGCCAACAGGACGTTGCTCCATAATATCCAAGAGGAAGTAAGCCTAGGCCTGTGGTTTCATCATCCATTTAAACTTGCTGTAAAATGTCATTGAAAAAGATTTAGAAGAGTTTAATCTTTTGTTGGAATTTCATAATATATCTAAGCATTTTTTACAGTAACCCATGTCTCATGTTTTTAAAAGAAAATATTTTGGGTTTTTTGAGAAATTATGGAATATTGGCATCAAAAACATAAATATGCCTGTACAAAAGCAGAAAACAGAAAGTATTTCTCTCTAATTATAGTACTAAAGAGACTCCACTGGGTGGCCAAGATGTAGATCGTTTTAATATCGCCACCTAATGGCAGCAACAAACTACTGCACCACTGATCAGAAGCCAGTCACAAACTTTCATTTTCATTTAGCTGTCCTGTTTAAAGCTTCAATCTTATTTCCTTCATTAATAAAAGATAACATGAATGACGTCCTGTTTGTAACCCTTCTAGTTGGAATGCTGTGGTCTCATCGAAGGCTACAAGGACTGGGGTGCATCCATTCCCGCCTCCTGTAACTGTCATTATCCAGGAAAATGTGTGAGTATTCCCAACATCGCATATTCTCATCAATGTAATCAATGCATTTTGGTCAACCATTTAAATTGTATTCATCATGCAACTTTAATTTCTTTACAAAAACAAAAGCATAGATTAATTTCATTAGAAAAATAAAGATCAAGATTAAACTTAAAAAATGAAATTGATTCTGACTATATGCACTGCCATGCTAAAATACTGCAACTGTCAGGTTTGGTGGATGTTAAATGAGGACCCAAATGCAGAGATGAGTTCTTGCAGATTGAATTTAAATGCAGATGGCAACAAAATCTTAAATGCAGGAACAATAAAAAAAAGAAACCAAAACCAGGAGACAGCAGAGAGAAACACACATGAGGAGCTAACCAATGAAGAGGATCCAGCAATGAGAAACAGGACTGAATAAAGAATGGGCTAATGAGCTGATATGGAACAGGTGTGGATAGAAGTAACTAGAAGGGAGCTAGGGCAAAGGAGACTGGCACAAGGGGGCAGCAGAGAGTAACCCAAAAAATGCAACACTGCTTAAATATAACACAGAATGGAAAAAAAAAATCAATTGACAACAGAAGAGAATGACATAAATAACTGAAAACTCAAAAAGAAGTCCAAAAGGGGAGAACCATGACGGCAACTCTCAGTAGCTATGCAAATATGTAAGCAATATGACTGCAGATTAGACTTGCAGAGTTTCTTATGTGCAATTCATGAAAATCATAAAAAAAGTAATTAAAGGAAAATTAGAAATGCAAAATGTTTCATTTCATAATTAAGTTTCATCTTTGCACTTTTAACCAGGTTCGACTAAGAGGCATCGCCACTCTTGGAGCTCCGAAGAACCAGTATGTCTATCGAGAGGTAAAACACATTCCCATGTCCATTTGATTGCTAACTTTATTACATATATTAAGTATAATGGTGTTATCATAGTGATTGCTAGCATTTTATACCCTTGTAATGTGGCAAATGAAAGAAAAAAACAACATATTTTCTAACGTCATAATAAAGCTGCAAGGCAAAGATTGTTGCAAATATAACACAGATTCAAATTCAGTGTGGAGCTTTTTGAGGAAGTCAGGGAAATGTTAAACACAATTTCTTTGCAGGGATGCAGATTAGAAACCGTAAAAAACATAACTTAAAGTATTTCTTATTGAATCCACAGCGAGGAGAGTTTATCTGAATAAAACAGGAAGTTAACTAAATGCACTCTCAAAAATCAAAATAACTGATTGATTCAGTATAAAGTATTCAGTGTACAGCTTGAATAATACACTGGAAAAACAATCTAAAAATGTCTTAAATTAAGTGAATTTACCCTTAATTTGAGTAGGTAAATGAGAGGATTTGCCAATGAAATTAGTATTTTTACTCTTAAAGTAAGATATTTTGATAAAATGCACTTGAAAATAAGACAATGTAATTGGGTTTTCTTATTTTAGAAGTAAATTATCTTGTTCCTTTGGCAAAATGTCTCCTTTACCTCCTCAATTCAAGAACAAATGCACTTATATTAAGAAAAAATTACTTATTTAGATTTCGTTTTTTTCCAGTGTAGTACACAATCACTGTCTCCTGAAAATAAACCCTTCATATCTTAACCCCTGACATCAAAAATTGACATGACCACAAAGTTAAAGTGAAAATGCAACAACCAAACTAATGCCTGCTAGTGATACAAGCAAAATAATCTTCCCAATTTTGAGAGGACCATGATAAACACTTGAGTAGGTGTAGCAACTAAAGCCAGTAAGTAAACTTCAGTCGGTGTAATTGGACACAGTGGAAACAACATTAGCATCACCCAGATCAATATCTTGTTTATGCCTGCTGCTTTAGGCCTTTATGTAGCTGTGATGTTTCATCCCACAGCCTTGCCTCCCGATTTATCTCTCCGAGCTGAAGCTGGCCTTCTCCTTAGTGATGGCCATACAGTTTGGAAGTGGAGTGTTTTGGGTAAGCTTTTGGTTTATTCCATTTATAATCAAAGAGATTAAATCTAATGCATTTTTTTTTTTTGGTCTCCTTCTGTTCTCAGATTATTTTACTCGCAATGAGCATCAAACTGATGGGACAGATAAAAAGGAAACAAGAGTTTATAGCTCTCATCCAGTCCAACAGATACGTTCCAGGGGCTTTCTAGCACTGCACACTACTATGATTTAAATGTGCACTTGGCACTACAAGCATAAATGGTTTAAATTGGCACCTGAAGCTGCATACCATAATAAGGCTATTATGTGCTGTAGCAATATGTTATAATTTTATACATGTTACTGCATGTAACTGATGTTGACAAGTGATCTACATAGTTAGATTTATATCATTGCTTTTTTTAAGCCTTACTGCTGTAAAACAAAGCAATTGAATGCAATTTTACTTGTATTGAAATTATATTCACACTTTTACATGCTTTTGCCGTATAGAAGATTGTGCTTTCAAAGAATATTTTGTCAAATAAGCGGTTTATCTGGTGCTTATTCTTTTGTTTTGTGATGGGATATGTAGGGAAGTCCTTTCATGTTTTTTTTTTTTTTTTCATTTGTTCCATATGCAGATAATAACCTTCTTTTTACCTCATGCGTCCAAAATGTTTGAAATGTAGTAAATTCTTCATTTTTTCTTAGTTTCTTTAGTCAAACCTGTCTGGCCTCCAAAATGGGGATATTTACTGTACTTACACCCATCATTTTTTAAAAAGTCTGATTTTTGGATTCATTTCAGCTTTTTTAAACCCTGGATTTAATAGAAATATTGAACAATTTGCACAAAATTTTTAGTATAGGTCTATAGAGGGCGACCAGTGCGACTATAGAATAGATAAATAACATGAAAGAATGATTTAAATGTGACATTAATTTATTAAAACTGAAAATCAATACGGACTTTAACTAATAACAAACATATGATTAATTATACACGCTTGTTTAAATATATAACTTTTATGAAATATAATTGTTTAAAGATTTAATGAATTATCACATTTGTCCTGTGTTGAAGCATTGCATTCATTTATTTAAACTGTAACACATCCATCAAAGTCAAATAGGCAGGACTAAGACACCTTGTGTAAAAACTGACATCTGATTAGATATTTATCATTAAATAAATTCTTTATTTATTGCCAGTTTTAATACAAAAATTATACATTTGAATAATTATTCCATAGGTTATTTATTTATTGAATAGTGGCACTCTGCGCCCTCCATATTCAAACCAAGTTCAGTCAATACTTTCATATGTGTCTTTGTTATTCAAAGGGCATGCAAGTCTGTTTAAAATGTTTTCCTTTTACATATTGCATATGTTTTAGCTCACAATAATAGTCTTACTTTCTGAGAACTATAGAAATATGTTTAACAAATATTGAATGATAAAAGTGAGGAATAAAAAGACAGCCGAGGAGCAGGCTTAAAGTTGGAAAAGACGGATTATAATCTGCTTTAGACGAGTGAGCTACAGTGAGCAGCAAAGACAAAAGTAAAAAGCTCCAATTTGAGTTCCTTTAGATACGGTTTATTTGGTAGTTTATCCTGTGAAAAGGAACCCACTCTATTTCCCCACAGTGGGCAAACAATACTTCCGAGAAAATCCGTTGTTAGGTATAAAACTATAACTGCAATAAGGTTAGATATTTCCATTTCTGATCCAGTTCTGACCTGTCCCCATGAATACTTTATACAAGGGACCCATGCAGTGATTATGCACTTTTCTCCACATAATTTCTCCTCTTTTCTTTTAATACACAACAAAATACAAAGTCACTATAATTCTGTTGAAAAGTATTTTTAGAAGAAAATAAAGTGATTACCAATAGAGATTTTCAAACAGTATGTTACAGACATGGGCAGGTCAAGTATATAAAAAAAAAAAACTGATTTATGGATTGTTAAAAACACATACCGAACAATTACAAACTTCTGCCATCTTAATAAAAAAATATTTACCTCTTAAAATAATCAGGGCAACGTGTAACTGTAGGAAAATAACTATTAGAATCAGCTGGTCAGGCTTCTAACTATAAGCAGAAATCGGCATTGACCAGTTAAAACCTGATTGGTGCAACTCTGTCAAGTATTAATTGAAAAGCTATCAGCAAAGTTAGCATAGCTAAATTCATTTGCTAGGATTATATGCAGGTATCTTGGTAGAAATCGGATTAATTTTACACTACAGATTTTTTTTCGCTATACTACCCTAACGTCCCATCTGTATAACCACATATTAAACAATTATTTTGTCTTAAAGCACACAACTTTCTACATTAGATTATTGCTAGATAAAAGCTTCATGCAGCACATTTTTAACTGTGTTAACAAAGTGCTTCTATTGAATATAATCCAGTATTTCTTGCATATATAATCAGGTTAGACCATCAGAATGGGATGCATTTCTCATTGAATGTCTTGACTTCTTGTTATGCACAGTGTATATTTCTGAAATGATGACGTTGCAGTTTGTTTTTTGAAAAGCACATTAAATGAATGAGTGATATTCAATCAAAACCACATGTTTGAGGAGGTGGCTTTGTTTTTGTTGCACATCTTGTAGACATGCTGCTGAGATCATTCTTTGGTTTGAGTTTGGGGGTAAAAATGGGAAACTGCGGCAGTCTGGCTCTTGTGTGAAAATAAGTCAATGCTTTTCTACTATAATCCAGTTGAGGTCACTGTTCCATAGAAAACTCACTAGCATAAAAATTTTTCTGCATGAGCTGCCTGCCGTGAGAAATACTCCTGTTCTTAAATATTGTAAAATACAATTAATCTACCTGTGCACTTAAACCATAAATGCCTGATATGCTGTATGTTTGCAGTTATGGTTTTTTTTCTTCTGCATTTTACTGTTCATTTTTGATTCTAGATGTGAACTTGATATACTGTTTTGTAAATAGCAGGAATAAAAATATGATTTCTGTTTTTCTGCTTAAATCTATTTTACTGTGATTTGTCAGAATTTTAGCATTTCTGTTCAGAACAGGAAATTTAGACTCAGATTTAAACTATTCTTTGGTATGGGAGAGGAGGAGAATAATGTATTAAGCAAACAAGAGGCATGGTAGTTTTTTGTTATTATTACTTATTTGCACGCACAAAAACACTAGAGACTAGGACAATGAGAAAAAAGTGCAGTCACATCTTTTATATTATGTGTTATAAAGTTCACACAGTCAGCAAAGTGTACAGTGCAGTACTTTCTATCTTTTCTTTATGTATATGTGCAGAGGAATAAATATGTGTGCAAGAAACAATATAAAAAACTTAACTTTAGTAATTATGAAATATTTCAAAAAATATGAAATATTTTAAAAGTTTATTAATTTTATTGAAGATAATTGCTGTCAGCTAAAGGTAACCTTTTAAAACACTCAGAATATGCTGTTTTGGTCAAGTTTGTGTACACAAATCATGAACTTGTTGTTTTAAAACGCTGCCTTGGCAGTAACTATTTAATCATGGACCATTTCCACAATGAAGGTAAGCTGCAAAAGGTTGGGTATCAATGAGTGTATAGATAAGTGTAGGTAATTTCCTGATTTTTCAAAGGAAAAATTAGAGTATGGATTTTAATTAGCTGTTGGCCAAAAAAACTTAACATTAACAGAAAGAAAATCCAAATATGTCACTCCATATAATGACATTAAATGCTTTGAAGAATTATTACTACATACATATTTATTTAGATGCCTCATCAACAAAAAGCAAAACAAAAGTAAATAAAATCTCACACAACTGAATTACACAAAGAGCTTTCAGAAATCTTCAAGCCTTTCTTCTATATGTGAAAACATCCCCAGATATGTGCTTTTTAAAACATGTTGTGTGTAACAAATCTTTTTAAAGTAATGGTCCATATTTTTGTCATGAATTCCCCCATATGAGGGCGTGGCAAAAAGAAAAGCAACGTCAGGCCTCTTCCAGACCCTAATTGTGAGTGCTGTAGTTCACCGCTTTAGTTTCTGGGCTGTAGAAAACCTTGTTCAGTTAGCACAGGATAGCAATAAACAACCCTATTGAAATTGTCTTTAGAAAAGTGAGAGAAACAGTTTTTTTTTTTTTACTGTTTGGTGCTGTTGTATTGTGGAGTGGGGAACTGCAATCTTTTTCAGTTTGCAACTGAACCAGTAAAGTAGAGCTTCTGCATGATTACCACAAATGTGCCCAGTTTTTAAGTATGTACATGGTGCAGTTATGAAAATGAGTGAAGCAATTACCAACAGCAGTATGAATCCCAGCAGTATACCTAACCCCATGTGTAGGTAATATAAGACATTTTGAGTGTAAAAGGGAAGACACGGCTAGAAAGGAGCATCATTTTCTTGATGTGTTTTATTCATTACATGTATTTATGTGGGTTATTTGGATGAATTCAGCTATAAACACAAATAAACCAAACTTATGAAGATATCATATGAATAAGACACACAAAAAACAAGAGTTACACAATATACAGAATAAATATTACAGTCCCTTAATGAGATTTTCATAATACTCAGTGTGAGTCATAATTTCATTCAATTTCTTTATAAATAATCTTTTTGATGGGCAGAGCAGTACGGGTGGTAAAAACTGCTCTTTTATTTAAAGCTACAGTGTGTAACTTTTAGCGACATCTAGCGGTCAGACTGCAGACTGCAGCAACATGAACATCTCCCCTCCACCGCTTCTCCCCCCCAACAGTACGGTGAGCGTTACGGGACAAAATGTCTTCCACGACGTCCGCATCACCTACCTTCTCAAGTGATGAGGTTTGTTTACATAGATAATTTTACAGATAGTATTTCATTAGTCTGTGTAGGGTATAGATTTCATGTAGACTTAAGATAATAAATATACCCGTTATTTTTTCTACATTGTTGTGACGTTTTGGCGATCTCGCAATCGCTAGTTTGTTGGCTCTGTGCTGCCGTAGCGCAAAGATGTCTCCATGACTGCGAGACCCGCTCCTATGTAATTATAAATAATGAATTCTAAGGCAACGCAAATATTAAGGTTAAGAGGCTGAGCCCGTAGATGATGATAAATAACATAGTTTTGTATAATATATTACATTTCTGACTGTATATCCCTGTAATTATTACACACTGTAGCTTTAACCCAAAAAAAAATAAAACGTAACAAGTACAAAAATAGATCCAAAAAAGAGGTCAAAGGAACCAAAACTACTCAAAATATGTAACTAAAAAAACTGACCTCCCTTAATGAGACAAAGGGAAACTTAAATAGTTGCTGGTCAGATCATAATAGAAGGACTAAATTCATGAGTATGTTGTGCATTAATTAGCTCTTGAATCCTCTATTGGACACAATCTCCCCGCTGCCTGTTAGTCTCTTAGAAATTTAGGCTGGAGCTTCCATGCATTGAAGCAACCAGCGAGAAAGTAGTGACCGGATTGGATAATGCACAAAATTCCATGACTTCCAGTGAGATTAAACTTCTTATGGGGTCTGTGGAGCAGGGTCAGGTCACGAAGCTGGCTGCTCAATGCTGATAGGAAGAAGCAATGATTTAGTCAGAACTGGCTTTTGAGGCAGACCTGTAAAATCAATTCTATTAAATATAAACACATAAATAAGTTATTAAAGGTCCTGCTGAGACATTAGATGTTCTTTAGGTGATAGAAGGCCAACTTTGTTCATGTCTTTGTGTGCTCCCAAGGTTAGGATCTGAGTCCATCATGATTGGTGGTTGCTTGCTGTAATTACTGAAGATAAGTGATAACTTTAAAATTCTTACTTTGGTGTAAGATATATTTCTTCAGTTTTTATTCAGCAGAAGGAAATGTTGAAACATGCATGTATTAATTTCTTCTATCTAGGCAATGACCCTTATTTCCTCTGACTAACGCACACTTTCTGGTGTTGTTTATGTTGTATTCTACTGGATGAACCCTTAGTATCAGGGAATTTATGAATCTGAATTATTTAAAACAAAGAAATAAAGAATATAAAGGCAGTGGGATACGGAAGTAACTACATTTACAATCAAAAGAGGTAAAGCCTAGAATCTTATATGTATGTATCTTGTTTTTTCTGCTTTCAGGTTTGAAATCCTTTAAAAATTATATTTTCCGTGTCCTTTAAACTGTGCGACAAATGTATCCCTGAGCTATTTGCCATCTTCTTTATAGTCTACAGGAGGCTTTTTACTACCTTTCACAAATCTCTGACGACTATACAGAACTACTATATTTTTACTAAGAAACAGCAAAACATGCCAAACTCTTTTCACATGTTAAGTGACTTTTTAAGGTAATTTTAGGACTATTAGCATTATAAGAGGGCTAATTAAAATCCAGTCCACATTTTGTAAAATTGCTACCTGCATCCATTTCTTTCCACTTAATAATGCCAGACTAATTATTGAATTATATCTGTTGCTGTTATATATGGAAAATGTGAAGAACTTCACCAAGTACAAGTATTCTGCAGCACAATGAGCTTTATTAATAGTCCAGAAGCAACTCACAGCTGTGAAATTAATTTTTTTTTTCTCAAGCATTCAAAAATATAAAAAAAAGTTATTACAAAATGTGTTAGAATATAGAACAATATTAAAAAACATTTGTATAAGTAGAACTACAAAAACTAACAAGTAAAAAAAAAGAAAAATTTTAACTCTTAAATATCTCCCTCCTCTCTTGCAGAAAGTTATGCATTAGTGCGTTGACAAAAATCACATTTCTTTCGCTGAAATAAAGGCTGTGAAATTAGATCTAAGAAAACCTTAGCCTTACAGACCATGGACGCCTATAAGGGGTTTGTTATTATGATTCTGTGTATTTCTTGAAATGGATCTGGTCCTTAAACGATAATTTTTATTAAATCACAATCCAGTCCACCCTTCCCTTAAATGATATGATATTAAATACATTTGTTTGCTCAAATTTCTACAAAAAGCTGAACCTGATTGTTGGTTTAATATTGCAAAGTTTCATATATTTTGACCTAATTATACAGTACCTTCAGTCATGTCGAGAAGAAAATGGAAATGAAACCACAGAAATCATGCAATGTAATCATCTGGGGTCTCTACAAGACAACTGTACTTTCCAGCTCTTGCTTCCTTACTGTAGACCACCTCAGGAGTTTCCAGCTTCTTATTGATTTGACACAGAATCGCAATGCACAACCCTATTGGCAACATCTATAAGATAGTGAAAGAAAGAAAAAGGTTACTTCTACCTTCTGTTCTCATGTCTTGCGCATCTTCATACAGAGTTTTGTTGTTTTACAAATTAAAAGATGATCAAGCTCTATTATTATTGCAGAGACGTAAGAAAGCTTTTCTTATGGTGAGGAGTTTAAACACTAATTCTAATCTCCTGGTTTAATATAGAGTTTGCAATAATGTGTTATGTCATATGCTTGTCAGCTAAAATAGGCTGGAATAACAAAAACTGACTGATTTAAAGGTGTCACAGATTAATTCTAACATTGGAAAAAAGGATTGGTAAACAATACATAAATTGAGGTATACTGTGTAGGTCAACATAATACATACCCATAATATCATGAATCCCGCATGGATGCAAGAAGAGATATTAAGATAAAAATAGGTTTCTTCAATAATCAATGGAATACAAGGCTACAACAGGGAAAAAAACAAACAAACAAAAAAAAGTTAAATCAATGTTTTAAGCCATTCCTTACTTCAAGGTATAGAAGAGGATTTTCTTTTCCCGAGTGGATCATCAAAATAAGTGGTCCTCCTAATTGTCAATCATTCTGGTGATATGTTTATATAAGGCTGGCCGTGGCCGTCCCCAGTTAGCTATCTTTTTACTTTAAGGCATACATGTGCGGTTTCAGCCAGTCATTGATTCTCAACTTTCTCACTGTTTTTCTATAAAAATGGCAGAGGGTCGTAAGAGAAAAAGTGTCTACGAAGTTTAAAAGAAAAGAAAGGCTTCAGAAGAGAGATTCTTGGGGAGATTCTTTTAGATGATGGCGTACACTGAAAGCACAGGTCGGGCTTCCCACTGATTTGTCAGTCGCAAAGTTTCTAGTTGACAGGTAAAGTTTGGCATGCTATTTGGAGGAATCAATTTTACAACTCTGCATATCAAAAAAAAAGGAGAAATGGGCTCTCGCATGCTCTCGCACATGTTTAATAGGTGATCCCTCTCGCGAGCAGGGTAGTGCGTGGGCATTATTTTTTTTTTTTAAGTAAAGAGGGCGGCGCTTTTAAAAAATTCGCAAAAATCCTCCACTACACCTTTAAGATGATCTACTTTAATATTAAAATATACGTTAAATACTATTAGGTGACTTGGGCTTAAATGTCTTTCTACCCACTAAGGCCCACTAAGGAGAAAGCTGGAATAAAACTTATTTCTCCAATTGTAAGACAACTATTGTTCCCCATTCCATCCATCAATCCATCCATCCATCCATCCATCCATCCATCCATCCATCCATCCATCCATCCATCCATCCATCCATCCATCCATCCATCCATCCATCCATCCATCCATCCATCCATCCATCTTGTAGATATTAAGAAATTGTTTTTTTTTCTTCTCCTCAAATAAGATACATAATATAATAAGAAAGTGCAATAAGTGGACACCTTGAATGGTGTTTACTGGTTTTAACAGAAGAATACTTAAGAATGCAAAAATAATGTTTCTATTTCTATTGATCAATACCTTTGAATAAATCATGATGGGCTGATCTTCAGGACCTTCCACTGTAAACTGGAAGCTGCCTTTTGGAGCTGGCACCTAGAAAACATTAACATGGTTTATTACATAAAGAGAATAATTGACATTACCCCAGATTACTCTCACTGGCAAATGTGACAATAAAAGCATCACGTTGTATGAATAATTTTCATTTGCAAGGTTGATAAAATGTTACAATGCATATATCTTCAATGATAAACCCCCTTTTTGTTTTCAGATATGCTTAGATTTTACAGGTCAGTTTTATTGGTTGAATTGTGTGATGATGAATGTTTCTAAAAAACAAGTGGAAAAGAAGTGGGACAGCAAATAACTCAGGAAAAAAAATGCCAAATGTTCTGATAGTGAACTTTGGCATCTATGCACAACACAGTGTCCAGTCAAGGCTAAAAAACTATGTTGTCTCTTCATCCCTTGGTTTTGGATTATTCCTTTCATTAATCCTAAGATTACAGCATGGATGTTTTTTCTAATTAAAAATACTGTCTATGTTTTGCATACAAAAAAGTCTGTCACAAAATATATGTTTTCAAGAGAACTGTGTCTAAATTTTAAATATTAAGTTTTTAAGGCTCTAAATAAAAAAAGGCTTGATCAAGTGATATTACTAGAAGAAACAACAATAGGCAACAGCAACAGGGAGAGAGAACAACTAACACATGCAATATTAACCAATGAGCCAAAGAATCTATCAGTATGACAATATTTGCAATGTTAGATATAGCTTGATAAAATCTGATATTTGATTTTTTGCTAATATTGAATCGATATCCTATATTAATATTGGATAGGACACTCATAAAGCTTACACATGATTCCCCATTACAACTGCATCAAAACCAAAGATAATAATGTGTTACAGGAGCTTCATTTTTATTAAAAGACTATAATATTTGAGAATACCAAAATAATATGTATATTGGTAGGATTTTTTTTTTTACTTACACATGGATTTATTGACATATTATGACACAGACAAGTTTGTGAAATGTTGTTCTTCCAATCCAGGTAACCCTGTTCGACTCCACAACACTGAAACTGAGAGAGAACAAAAATAAACATATTCATAAAACATAAAAAAAATAACTTATCAGTTTTGGAAATGTGATAAGGCATTTTTAGTCGTGTAAGGTTATAATACTGGCTGCTGAGATTCCAAAAGGATAGATTTGAATAGAAATCCCATGGCTACTTCTTATGGTAATGAACATAAAGAATTTAAAGTAAGTATCATCAGACTTAAACATGCAGCAGCTATACATGTGACAGAACTTGATGTTGCACAAAATCTGCTTTATTTCATTAAGTTTAGAACTAGGTCACACATTTGTTAATCTACAAAAAAACATTGCAAGAAAATGAAAGGAGATGAATGTTTTAAACCACTGTATGAGCAAGTGCTCTTTAGGTACCTAAGGCATCATTATCTATAAACAATCTATCTGGAGGCGAATTAACCGAAAAGACTTTGTTTAACTCTGTATGTTATATTAATTTTTTTTAATTATTATTTATCCTTTATTTAACCAGGTAATACCCATTGAGATTAAAAATCTCTTTTGCAAGGGAGACCTGGCCAAGATAGGCATCAAAATTACATCACATCATTACATAGGTACAAAGACACACACATAAAAGCCAAATATGCACTTACAATAAAATTTCAATTAAAACATTGACATGTGAGGGAGTCCAGCTCAAAACATCTAATTCTCAGCTTAAAAGTATTCAAAGGAACCAATTTACTAAGTTTCAAGTTATTTTGCAGCAAATTCCATGTAAAGGGGGCAGAGTAAGCAAAGGCCTTTTTACACAGCTCAGTACTGACACATGGGACAGAAAACAAGACAACAGCCTGAGAACGGAGAGAGTAATGACCAATGCTTTTTACAAATTATGTTTGTCTTTTCCTTATGCTATATTACCATAAGCTTGAGCATAAAAAGTTGTGTAGATAGTAAGAAATCCTTGAAAAGTGACTTACTTGCATCTGTGCGTTGTTTAGCATTTTTAAATCGTCTTGAGAGGCATTAGTTAGAGGCAGCAGGTCCAGGAAGTGACTTCTTATATGATCTTCCATCTATACAGCATGTAAAAAACAATGAAAGCTGGAGAGTTGCATTTTTTATAATGTATCATTTTAGGATTTCAGACTTTAAAATTCACGAAGTGCATGAACACAAAATCGAATGAATATAATTATAATTTTCAAATACCTGGGTTTTTATAACCTGAGCATGAACTTCTAAAGCAACAAATGACAGGAAGCCTGCGCTCATTCCAACTGCAAACTGAGACAAAATGTTGAGATTTTAACGATTTATATTTATTTCTATTCTTGCTTTAAACGTTTTTTTTTTTTTTTACTTACCACTATCAATGGCCACTTTTTTTCTTTCAAGGAACCAAACCCACCGAAGAAGGCAAGGACAAGTGTTGTAGTGCAAAACACACAAGATACATTCAGCCACAAAGTGGTTTCCTCTGTCTATTGAGAAAAAATGTGAGAAAAATATCCTGAGATGTATTGATATTGGATGAAATGAAATAAATGTTTCTACGCACAGGTTTTTATTGCATAATTCTATTGTAGGGATCTCTCATTTGACCCCTGGCATTGGCTTGTTGACCTGATCAAGGTGCATTTCCACATTTTTCATCCTGAGTAAACAGGCTCAGACCTCAGCCGCCTAATTTTTTCTTTCCTTGACAGAGCCACCATTAACTTTTTTAACATAGAGGGTCTCCTGAACCCCAAGTTGGCCTTGGCAGAAGGCCGTGCACACTGAGCCTGGGTCTGCTAAAGGTTTCTATCTGTTGAAAAGGGACTTTTGCTCTCTACTGTCACTGTATGCATGCTTGGAGTGAGGGATTGCTGCAGAGTCAACTAAAAATGCAAGCAAATCCATACTCATCCAGGAGAAGCAAATTCTGCAAAGTCGTTAACTAAATACAATCGGCTGTTTTTTCTTAGATAGAAATTTTTAACCAATCTGAAACTGAGCTGAATTGAAAATTAATTGCAGCTTAAATATTAATAAATCTGTTGTTGATGTACCGTCAAGGACATTTCTTTGTTAGCAGCATCTTTAGCATAAGTCACTGATTTTAAAATATAATTTCCCATTCCAACATGCACTTACTAAAATATTTCATAGGCTGTGCAAATTATCTAATGAGTTTCCCAACTTGGAAAGGTGCAGATCAGGCTTTCTACCTTTCTGATAGATTAATCCACAGTCCTTGAGTTTGCTATTTAGGGAAACAGCTAAAAAAAAGATAATGGAAATATTTAACTAAATCAGCCAAGATGTTTTCAATTATTGTATTTAGGTGACATGTTTAGATGGTAGAGGTAGGTCAATAATGATGACATATTATTGAAGAATGGCCATGGATTGATGAAAGCAAAGCTTTGACACCATAGTCAGAGTTAAATATATTGGTTAACAGTTCCTACATGGGCTAGTCAGTAAATGGCAGCATAAAAAGCTGATTGCAGTTTGTATATACACTCAGGATTTTGGGATATTATGGACACATTTAGGGCGGAGACAATTAATCGGATTAATCATAAGTAATCGATTATTGAAATAATCATCAATTAATTTAGGAATCGATTAATCATTAATGAAGTATAGAGACTGTAAAACATGCCTTTAGCTGACAGAGCAACAGACTTAGGGCAACAATTATACCCAAAAAAAAAAAAAAACTATATATAAATTTAGCATTTAAGATATTAAAAAAATAAAACATTTTCCGTCAATATGCTCTATCCAGAAAACCTTAATTGGAAAATTTATTAATCCATTAATTGAAGAAATAATCAGCAGCTTATCAATTTGCAAAATAATTGTAAGGTGCAGCCCCAGACAAATTTACTATGACTATATATATAAAAAAAAAACTGGTGGCCATAATGGTCATTACATTGGATAAAAAAGTTGAAGCTTTCAGTTCAATGTATGTCCTCCCAAATTTGAATTACATGGTAGCAGAATGATGGAAGTTAAGACTTGGATGCAAATGGTTGAGACAATGACCCTAAGCATACCATGAAATTAGTTACAGTGATGCTTAATGGAAACAGTAAACACATACAAAGAGTTTATTCCCTTATTATTCTGACATTTAGCAGTTCAAAGTATTGTTGGTAGGCCTATAGCTTCGTGCCTTAGAAAGGGAAAGGTTTTTCTTAACTTTTACGTCAGACAGTGAGAGAAAAATGTTCCGTCTTTTTTTTTTGTTGTTGTTTTAATTGACTATAAATAAGCTGTTCAACAGTACTGTTTGTCCACTGTAAGGTTGCATCAGATCGGGACTCTGAAAGTATTTTATTTTATTTTTTTTACTCCAATCAATAATGGGTCTAAAAAGAATGTTGCTTAGGGAATATACACTGCTCAAAAAATTAAAGGAACACTTTGAAAACACATCAGATCTCAATGGGGGAAAAAATCATGCTGTTTATTTATACTGATAAGGACTGGGTGATGTGTTAGGAAGAAAGGATGCCACATCATTTGATGGAAATGAAAATTATCAACCTACAACCTGCTTTCATCTGTGAAAAGCACAGAGCGGCTGTGGCGGACATGCCAATTCCGGTGTTCTGTGGCAAATGCCAATCGAGCTCCACGGTGCCGGGCAGTGAGCACAGGGCCCACTAGAGGACCTCAGGCCCTTAGGCCACTCTCGTGAAGGCTGTTTCTGATTGTGTGGTCAGAGACATTCACACCAGTGGCCTGCTGGAGGTCATTTTGTAGGGCTCTGGCAGTGCTCCTCCTGCTCCTACTTGCACAAAGGAGCAGATACCGGTCCTACTGATGGGTTGTAGACCTTCTACGACCCTGCCCAGCTCTCCTGGAGTAACTGCCTGTCTCCTGGAATCTCCTCTATGCTCTTGAGATTGTGCTGGGAGACACAGCAAACCTTCTGGCAATGGCACGCATTGATGTGCCATCCTGCAGGAGTTGGACTTCCTGTGCAACCTCTGTCTGTAGGGTCAAGGTAGCGGCTCATGCTAACAGTAGTGACAGTGACCCTAGCCAAATGCAAAACTGGAGAAAAGAGTCAGGGAAAGATGAGGGGAAAAAATATCAGTGGCCTCCACCTGTAAAACCATTCCTGTTTGGATGGTTGCCCCTCTAGTGCACCTGTTTTTAATTTCATTAACACAAAAGCAGCTGAAACTGACTAACAACCCCCTCTGCTACTTACCTGACCAAATCAATATCCCAGATGTTTAATTAACTTGATGCTATACTCTGATTACAAAGTGTTCCTTTCTTTTTTTTGAGTAGTTAAACAAATAAGTGGAGGAGATTTATTTTAAACCCTTTTATCTAACATTTTATCTTTACTATTGCATTTGTGTTAACAGCAGTAAAGAGACCATTAATTGAATTTTGAGTTTATGTAAAAATAATTAACATTTTAAGATTTTGGTGCCCTGTTAAGGCATTTAAATAATCTAAAACTATAACCTTTCCAGCTTTCTTTGGAGGTAACAACTTATCTTTTTATAACAGCACACACATAGGTGTTACCTTTTCATCATAATGTATGTTCGCATGAGCAAAAATAGCGGATCCCAACATCAGCAAATTGAGAGCCTGTAAAACAGCCAAAATAATCAGAAGGAAAATTAACGCAATAGTTCATCAATTCAACAAAAACAGAATCAGTTATAATAAGTCATTAAATCTGATATTGGTATTATTTATCAGGCAATTCTTGAATTTAAAGGTAAACACTTACCGCAATCACACCAACTGAACAAAGGAAGCTCCTTTTCAAATGGATATTAACTTTCCCCATTTCCTCTACTTGGGCTAAGCAAACAGGGAACACAGACCAAGCGTTTTGACAGTTTGCTCTTGAAGAAACAAATGGAGAGGAACAGATGTGTTCAGGTAATCATCCCCCTTTCCCCTTAAAAAGGAGAATGTGGGTGTGTTATATGAAAAAAAAAACTACTGCAACAGTCTTTCACTTCTCCTTATAGACTGATTACCTAAGCAGAATTAGTAAATGGGGCTTCCCGTCTTAGTTTCTGTGTGATGCCTTCTAGAGAAAAACAAAAGTTGGAGACAAACCAGAAATCTTAAATTCAGACGAAAAGTTTAGGGGAAGTCACATATTCACTTTTTTTTATCCTTTGCTTTGGCAAATTTAAATCTGCCCTTTTTATTTTATTGATCTTATATTATTTCCTTGTTCAATGTTTTACATTTTTTCGGATTTTTATATGTACAGTTATTGGTTCCATCTGTGGTTGTTTAAAAGTATATTAAAGACAAATAAAGTAGAAGTAGTTGTGGTTGCAAACATTTGTTCCTGCAAAGGATGTGGATACTTCTGTCCTCTCTGAATAGGATGTGAAACTAAGTTACTAGGCCTGCTTTATTATTGCTCTGACAATATCTATCCATAAGAGTGTAACCATTTTGATGGTGTTCATCTATGATAGCTCCGTCCATCAGAATGGACTGTCACATTCTCATTTCATTTGAAGGATGAAAATGATTTAATTTTGCTCCAACTGCCAACAGGATTTCAGTCCAACAAAGTCTGTTCTGGTTCAGGATACATTCTGCAGTTGGAAAAAATCTGGAACAACTCCTGCGTATAAAAAGGAATAAAGATTTGGGTGTTTGAAGAGCTGAGCTCTGCTTGACTTACAGTATGTTGCTGCTGCTTTCTAAGCGGACTTTTTATACTTCACAATTACTCTTTCCTAAGCTTTGTAGAGTAGATTGAGACATCTGTCTCCTTCTTGCCTTTTTTTGTGTTTGTCTCCCATTATTTTTCAGCTCCTTGAATTCAAATATAATGTTTTGTTTTCCACTTTAATAGTGAATATATTATTTGAACTAAAAATCTACCAATGTGTGAACAATACAAAGTTAGCCAATTTAGTTTGCTGTAGTGATGGTTCTAGGAACACTGATTAATCGGCAGCATGTTTCGAGCTAATACAGTAAACTCGTGTTAGAAGGGGAATTGTTCCAAGAAAGTCATATGACCGATACGGACACTGTTTTGAAATGACTGACGCACTAAAGTCTGTTTATAAGCACATCTGTGAAAGGGATGCATCTACCAAAAAAAATTGTGCTTTAGTATACCCAGAGTACATTACAGCTTGTTTATACAGTTTGTCAAAGGTTAAGAGCAGTGGAGAAATAAATAAATATATATAGTGCAAAAATGCAGTAGAAACATATACAGATCCACCATGTAGTGCAAGTATGATGTTATAAGTGTGATGCAGAGTCTCGATTTGAAACCTATTAGAGCTTCCAACACTTCAACAGTCTTATGGCAGCAGGGGAAAAGCCGTTTAGAATCTGCTGAACCTGCATTGGATGCTTTAAAGCATCTTCCCAAAGGACAGCAGGGAGAACAGTCCATGATGGGGTGTGAGGGGTCACTGATGATGTTAGAGGCTCCGGACATGCAGGTCTGGGGTGAAATATCATTAAAGGAGGGAAGAGGTGCCCCTATGATCCTCTCTGCTGTTCTCACCAATCTTGTCATGTTATTCCAATCTGAGGCGCTGCAGCCTCCACACCATACAGTGAGACAGCTGGTCAGACACTCTCTATGGTGCTTCACTAGAAGGTTGTGAGGATGAGTGGGGGCAGGAGGGCTCTCCTCATCCTCTGAAGTACAGCCGTTGTGACCTTTTGACCTGAGGAGGTGTTCTTAGTCCAGGTGAGTGTGTCTGCGATGTGCACACCCAGGAATTTCGTGCTGCTGACCACCTTTACAGCAGAGCTGTTTATGACCGATGGAACATGGTTAGTCGACGATGATCTCCATTGTCTTCTCCACGTTCAGGATCCAGCTGTTATCTCTGCACCATCCCACCATCTGCTCCACCTCCTCTCTGTATTCCTGGTCGCCGTCGTCTCTGATGAGGCCCACCACCGTAGTGTTGTCTGCAAATCTGAATTTGTCAAAAAGTCAAAAAAGTCAGAATTCTGAGATTAAAGTCAAAATTTTGAGAAAAAAAGTCAGAATTCTGAGATTAAAGTCAGAATTTGAGAAAAAAAGTCAGAATTCTGAGATTAAAGTCAAAATTCTGACTTTTTTCTCATATTATACTGAAATAAAATTTTAAATGGCAATCATTATTTTATTTTTAAAGAAATACTATCTCTTTAAGAAACGTCACGTGACAGTCACATGACACGGAAGTAGACGTAGATTGTCTTTCGGCGTGGCCGTGTTTACAAGCTGCTGGTTTACACGGTGTGTGCGGCGTTGTTCCGTAAACAAATAATGAAATAATTCTAATAAGGTTACGATCCATTTATGGTTTCATTTGGAAATGATCAGATAAGCAGTAGACGCATTTTTTCGGGGAATGTTCGAGTCACCTGTAAAGGTAGGTCAGATTTCTTTGTTAAGAAATTTATAGATGTTAAATATAGAGCAGTTGATGGTGTGTATCAATAAAGCTTTCTATATAAAGTCATTAAATTATAATCTGTTGAGCAGAATAAAATAATAAATTTTTCATTTATATTATGTTTTGGGATTATATATATATTGTATATTGTAATTAGATTATTATTATAACACTTCTGTTGGGTAAATGCTTTGTTTTTTTTAAGGTGACTATGAAGGGCGATGAGGCTGTAAGGGTTCCTGCATACTTCATATCAAAACATGAAGGCTTTGTTGGAAGCATCAAAACCTTCATGGAGGACTTTGTTGTCACAGAGATCGACATTAATGGACAGAGAGTAAAAACAGCTCAGATCATGCAGACAGCAGGAGGCGCCTCCTCACAGCAAAACCAAATGAAAGCAGAGTCAAAGGAGAACCTTTACTCTTCAGGCTCAAATGATGCTGAAGTTTCATCAGACTGGGGGGCAGGTTCAGACACCCCTCTGCCCTCTTTAGGAAGCTTTGATTTAGATGTTATTTTAGGTCCTTCTGTGAGTGAAGATCTGGAGCAGTTTGTAATGACCCTACGAGAAAAAAGGCCATCTGGTCCAGAACTCTCTCTGGGCTCCTTCTCTGACAAGCACCAGAGAGCCAACGTCCACCGGGCCGTCCGCCACCGCTTTCCCTTCCTCTTGACCGTCACCATCCAGCCAGAGATCAGGGTGAGGGAAGACCCTGACTACAGGGAGCTGGCCAGACTGGTCAGAGAGGAGGAGGCTGAGGACTTCTTCAGGTTCATTGACGCCAAGGTGAGAGGGTCGTCTTACACTTTTGGACCGGATGACAGCAAGGAGCACAGGACTGCGGTTCACCACTTTCTAAATAGAAGGTTTGGGAAGCTGGTGGAGACAAAGAGCTTCAGCAGCCAGGGGAGAACGTCCATCTCAGTTAGGCTGAGAGAGCACGGCAAGCCCAAGAAGAGAACAGCAGAAGAACGCAGAGAAGAAGACATTTATACAGGTTGGCTTTATACCCTCATTTTTAGGGAAATTCTGGTGTTTACAGCAACAAAAAGATTATAGAAAAAAAATGTGACCCTAGAAAAATGTATAAGAATAACATAATAGTGTACTGTAAGGTGTTTTAACAATATAAATACTGTGCACTCTGACAGCTATGGATATGTTTAAGGTAATGGATATTTAAAAATGGCAGCAACATCAGAGATGTGCAAAATGACAGCAGCATGTTATTTAACTGAATAAGGTAGAAACTCCAAAATCAGAATGAATGTAAAAACTTATTCAGGTTGACGGTTATAAAGTCTTACAGCTGCTGGGAGGAAGGATCTGTGATAACACTCCATGGTGCATTTAGGGTGCAGCAGTCAATCAAATTACTGTCAATCAAACGTAGGGATTAGGGGCGTGGTATGGATACAGAGAGAGGAAAACAAACCAGAGGAGCCTAGAGAGGCTGTTTCTCCACAGGTAAGATCAGAAACTGAGGAGGATTTAATTGAAGGCAGAATTTGGTTACATTTTTAAGGATGTATTTTTATGTGTCTAAACTTCAAGTTTTGCTTTAGTAATTTTGAAGAGATCATGTACAAAAGTAGAAATGATGACTCATACTTTTTTTTAGGTTTTAACTTTAACCTGCCTGTCATTTTTAATCAGTTATTACTCAGATGTAGGGATGCAAATTATCGATTAATTCATTAATCATTAGTTGATTATCTTATCGATCGACTTTCGATTAATTGATAAGCGGCGTTTTTCACCTGAATTTCAGGACTTCAATAGGGCCTTAATATAATTGAGGTATTATATTACATTAGCCAACATTATGATACCATAATTATATTGTATTATATTATACATTCCTCAAGTAATTATGCATTAGGAGAAGAAAGCAGACACGTTTTTAAGGTAAAACAAAATCTTTAATTTAAAAAAAACCTGGCTCAGTTCTTGCATTTGAAACAATTCAATTCAATTCAGTTTCTTTATATAGTGCCAAATTCACAACACATGTCATCTCAAGGCACTTTACAGTTCAACCAGATCATACAGTCAAATTGATACAAAGTTTTCTATCTAAGGAAAACCAGTTGATTGCATTGACTCATTGACTCAAATACAATCCCCCACACTAAGCATGCTTGTAGCGACAGTGGAGAGGAAAAACTCCCTTTTAACAGGAAGAAACCTCCAGCAGAACCAGGCTCAGTGTGAGCGGCCATCTGCCGAGGCCGACTGGGGTTCAAGGAGACAGAAGCAGAGATACAAAAAGCAGCTGTAAAAGGCGGCCCCGTCCAGAAACAGACATAAAAAGAGAATAGAAGAAATTAAATAGAGAGCCAAACAGAATATTATTGAGCCTATAGGTTAGAAAGAAACTGCATAGGCTATTAATTGGGTAATCCTCAACAATCCTAAAATGAAACATCCACAACATATTTCTACCTCAATTTGTATAGGGTTACAGCAAAATAGAATGAAACGTTCACAGGGTCAC